GCTTAAGACTCTCCAGTTACTCTTTCCCCTTTGGATTCGTCGTTGTCCTCTTTATTGTTCTCAATGTTTCTCAGGACATAACCACCATGTTGACAAAAGAAAGATTAAAAAGGGAAGACAAGAACAAAGGAAAGACGTTGAGAATTAAAATAAGCAAAACATGTAAATTTTAAATAATTAAAAAAAAAGGCAAGCAGCCATAATATGCTATATAAATTATATTCCCGTAATTTATTTCTTTCCAAAACATTCTACAGTTAAATTATAAATAGTATCATTTAAATGTGTTTAATGAAAATTAAAGTTGAAAGTTTTATAATTATACCTGCTGAAATTTTTTTCTGTGTTGTGAAATATCCTCAAAAATTTTAAGTGCTTTATATGAAGAAAAGTTAAGAAGCTATAGGAATTCTAATATTGTTTCTAATTACAACTTAAGAGCCTTATGAAAGTATATGTTCTGTCTATAAGCAAATATGTTTGAAGAGAGATATCAGATTTTATTTATTTCAAATAATTTTCAAAATTTAATAAATAAAAAAAAGTTATAGTAATTTAAAGAATTACAGTTGCAAATATAAAAAAAGTTGTGATATTCTAAATATTTTTTTTGAATTTTAGAATGTAAGCAATTATATGCTGATATTAAAGATATAAGATATTAAAAAGTGAACATAGAAAATAATTTTATCTCAGTGTAAGTAAGAAAGAAGAGGTTAGAACATGGAACATGGAAATGCTAATAACAAAAATTTGCTAAATTGACATTGAATGGGAAACATTAAATTATCTGTACATATTATCCTTACACTTATAAGAAAGTTTTACATAATAAAATAATAAAATATCATTAATTAAATACAAGATTTGAGAAATATGAGAGAAATACAATCTTTTGATCTAAATAATATGATGATAATTAGGTCTGTTTATTACACAATTCAATGTAAACNAATAATGTGTATTTTTATTTAGTAATTTTTGAAAATATCTTTATGTTTAAATTGTTGTAAAATATGATGATTTAAAATGAAAATTTTTAAAAATCTATATACAGTTCTTTAATGTTATCTATGAATGTTACATGTTGAAGATCTGTAACTTTTAATAAATGATATTTAATACAGTTCTTAAAAATTATTGATAGATAATCTTAAGTCATTGCTTAGTATATAAAGATTTAATACCATTATTTTATAAGAATATACTGAATGTAAATAATATAGTGACAATCTTAAAAAATATCATTTCTGAAGTGGTTTTGGACAGTTTTAAATGACCAAATGGTATACGATGCTATTACTTGTTATCAATTGATGAAGTGATTTTAAATGACCAAATGTTAATGAGCAATATCATTTAATATCATCTGATGAAATGATATAAGTTAGTATCAATTGATGAAGTGATATTACTTATGAAATGGTTTCCTTTGGTTGATTTCGTATGACTGCAGAAACTGATATCAATTATTGTCAGTTGACAATTTGATGTTAAATGATCAGTTGATATTAAATGATACATTAAAAATTTTGTTGTAAATATTGATTTGATATATTTGAAATGTGAAGTAATATAAAATCAAATAATACACATTATTTTTTATGAACTGAACATTTGCAAAATTATATGATTTGACATCACTTAATAAATAATACCAATTGGTATCATTTGATATCACTTAGTAATTGATGTCAATTGACATTTGATATCATGTATTTAGAATTTAAAAATGCAACAACATAAAAGATCATTTGATAGCAATTCATATCATTTCCACTATTAATATTCTCTTCTACAAAGTAAATTATTGCAAAAAACTTACAATTTGTTACCATTTAATATTGTTTTCTAGCAATTAGCATCAACTCATATCTTTTGAAATCATTTATCATTATCATTACCAAACCAATTATAATTACGATTAGCAATTTCAAATGATATTTTTACTAGAATAGGATGTATTTTAATTGAATGCTTTTAATTATATATTATTTTGAATAAATTTTAGAATATCTTGTATAACTTAATATTATTTTTAATATTTTTAAATGTAATACATTTAATATCTTATTACATTACAGATAATTTACATATTAATTAATTAATATGCTATTTTATGTTATGCATATTAAGAAGTAACTAATTTAAAATATTCTTGTATATTTATTTCAGATAAAAGAACCATATTTTGGGATTAAGGTTAAAGCTGATTCCAAAGGAATCAGATTAAAACCTTCACTAAACGATTTTAAGATATTAATAAATGATTGCATTTTACAAATGATCCAGTCCATGAAAAATATTATAAGAATAGAATATAATATTGAATCCAAGCAGGCTGTAAGTAGTGTTTTAAGAAAAATTCTTTTTCATTATTGCTAAAATATTTTTAAAAATTTCTGCACTTATTGTTTTTTATGTGTTTTAATTATTATTATGTTTTAATATAGACTTTATATAAGTTATTTAAACTAGTATTAGTGATCAAAAGGTCAAAAGTATGGTCATCAAATTTGGTAATCAGTATTATCTCTCTCCTTCTCAGCAATGTTAAATATAAATATGAACACACCTGAATTCTACTTGCCGAGCTTTTTTTTCTTTTTATTCAAATGTTTTTGGCCTATTTGGATAGGCCATCCTCAGGCTTTTTTTTATCGTTCCAAATTGGAACCATTCGTTCAAATTTTATTTTGATTTGAATTTTCGAAATAAGTTAACAACTTTTTGTATATTACATAAATAAACAAAATAAAGTAAATAAATAAAATAAAATAAGTAAAATAAATATGTCCTTATACGCGTTACAAACATTAAATAACATTAAATAACATATTTTTACATGCGTCTAAATTTATAAAATAATAACTTCTTATAAACCCCAGTTCCCACTTTATGGATTATTGAAACCCATACATTTTTGTATTTTGTATTTCCATGCTGTTGGTAATGTATTTGCATCCTATTCATTTAAACATCGGTTCCTCATTTTACTTTTGTATCTCTATTTTTTCCATTTCCATCGCTAGAGACGGTGAGTGCACTGTTCTTATGATCTTCGCTTCATCCCACTTAACTATTGCTCCGTCAGCCTGTGCCATGCTTGCCAATATTGTGCTATTAAGTCCTTTACTAACACTGTTTTTGTGCTCTTTTATACGCACTGCAAGGTTTCTTCTGGTCACCCCTACATATTCTTTATCGACTCCTATTTGTTGGTTTTCATATGGGATAGTATACACCCCGCTTGCTCTTCCATTCTTATTTTGTCCTTATCGTTCCTTAATAATCTATATATGTTGGGTGCTCATTTGTAAATTATCCTTGTATTTTTGTATTTTCCTAGCTCATCCACTACTTTTCTTGTCTGTTCATTGTATGTGAACTTGTTGAATGCAGTTGTGTTGCTATGCGCTGTTGTAGTTCTTTAGCTTCTGTTGTTTTCCATAACTTCTGATAAGGCCTCTGATTGTGGCCGTTTTGTATCCTAAACTTCTTGCTACCTTTTGTATTCTATCCATTTCCTTGTCACGGTCTTGCACATTGGTGCAGTACAAGAAGGCCCTCTTTATAAGTGCCTTCTTGTACTAGGAGTCGATAAAGAATATGTAGGGGTGACCAGAAGAAACCTTGCAGTGTGTATAAAAGAGCACAAATACAGTGTTAGTAAAGGACTTAATAGCACAATATTGGCAAGCATGGCACAGGCCGATGGAGCAATAGTTAAGTGGGATGAAGCGAAGATCATAAGAACAGTGCACTCACCGTCTCTAGCGATGGAAATGGAAAAAATAGAGATACAAAAGTAAAATGAGGAACCGATGTTTAAATGAATAGGATGCAAATACATTACCAACAGCATGGAAATACAAAATACAAAAATGTATGGGTTTCAATAATCCATAAAGTGGGAACTGGGGTTTATAAGAAGTTATTATTTTATAAATTTAGACGCATGTAAAAATATGTTATTTAATGTTATTTAATGTTTGTAACGCGTATAAGGACATATTTATTTTACTTATTTTATTTTATTTATTTACTTTATTTTGTTTATTTATGTAATATACAAAAAGTTGTTAACTTATTTCGAAAATTCAAATCAAAATGAAATTTGAACGAATGGTTCCAATTTGGAACGATAAAAAAAAGCCTGAGGATGGCCTATCCAAATAGGCCAAAAACATTTGAATAAAAAGAAAAAAAAGCTCGGCAAGTAGAATTCAGGTGTGTTCATATTTATATGGTATCAGTATGCTGAACTGGTACTGATATTAATAGTTTATCATTTACTCAATAAATATTACTCAATTAATCATTACTTCCAGGCCAAGATAATGTGTTATCAAGTCAGAAAAGATGGTCTAAACAATAATTTTGATAATTGAATATTTCACTAATGACATTGCTAATTTTTTATAGCCTTATATTATTTTTGTGTTCTTTAGTAAATTCAAATTCAGAAGGATGCAAATGATGTTCATTAGACTAGCTGAAAGCAGGCTGGTTGACAAGGTGACAAGACACAAGCCTATTGCTCTGAAAGACCTAGGATCAAATTCAGGCAGGTCAAAAAAACAGAAATTTTTCTGAGGTGGTCTGTTCCAGATATGGCAGGTCCCATTTCTCATTGTCTGGCCATCCCATTGTAGGCCTTGATGAACACATGATAAGCCTGAGGAAAAAAGTTCTCTTAGAATGAAGTAGAAAGATAAAAAAAAAACTAGCTGAAAAAATNCTTTATGAAAATAATATCAAATTAAATCATTGATAATTAATTAATACTCTAATGTGTCTTATAAAAAGCTTTATAATACAAACCATAGTACACTATAATATTGAGATTCGCGCTTTCAAATAGCACTAAAATTTACTTTTTAATGTTTTTTATTGAAATAATTATTAAATTAATATGAAATAAAAAAGATAGAATGCATAATAATTTGTTTACTGAAGAATATAAAATAATATATTAATACTATATATATTTAAAATGATTGATTAGGCATTTATAAAGAAGTTAGAAAATGAACTCTTACCAGAAATAGAAACAAAACTGAATGATTTGACAGAAAGAATATTTTTTTTTGCAAACTTTTCAACTATAATGGTTGATGACATGAAACTTAATGCAGAACCATTTATATTAGCATCTGATTTTCCTAATGTCATTACTAAACATGAAATAATTATGTCTGAGAAAGAAGCAGATTTCCAGGAAAATCTACAAGTAACAAAATTTTATAAATAAAACTTTTTAAACTTTAAGAAACAGATTTTTTAAGTAAATCATTTTTAATAAGATAGTTTAATTTTGGATTATTTTAGAATAGAAGGATACAGTTTAGTGAAACATTACAAGAATATTGTAAAACATTAAATGAATTTACATATTTTGGAGATATTTTTGAAGTTCAGAAATATCTTCAGAAAGCTCAAGATCTTGATAAAAAATTACAAGATTCTGCTGCCATTGTCAATGAATTTAATGAAGAGGAAGCAGCATATGGATGGGAGATTACATCTTATCCATTGAGAACTGAATTAATTTCAAAATTATCATCTTATTTAAAACTTTATGAAACTGCTGTTGAATTTTTCAATAATTATAAGTATGTAGATGTTTTTTATTTATAAAATTTAATTTTAAAATTATATTTTAGCAAATATGTTATATAGGTAATTATTATATAATTCCATAGTTAGATTCTGCAAAAAATGTTGCATTATAAAAATTGCATTATGTGAGACTCATATTATATATAAAAGGTGAATTTACATTCCTAAATGATTCTTTTTTTTATAATAATTATGTTTATCATGTAAGAGAAAATAGCTTTATTTAATTCAGAAAATTTCATTTAACAAAACATGAATTAAAGATTTCCACAAAAAATAAAAAGCTTTCATTATTACAAAGAAAAGCTTTTTACCATATAGTGGAAAAATGCACAATCTGCATTGGCAAACTCTGTTGTACTAACTGAAAGAACATTTACTAGAATAAGATAAACAGATGACTTCACATAAACTCTGATATCAAAATTGTTGTATATAAGTACTGTGTTATACAAGGACTGCTAAAATTTGCCCTTTTATACAAGGATTACTTATATATCAAACCTCACATTCTTCTAAATAATGTCACCTCCTTCTTGTAAAGCACCAATGAGTACTTGAGTATAACTAATGAGTATAAATAAACTTTCCCATAAATATTAAATAAAGAACACTTCAGTAACTATAAATTACAGGTATTATTTTGTGTTGCAGAAAATATTGTTATCGATAAATTACATGACTTAAATCAGCCTGATTTGTCAGATATTCTATTATTATTTCTTTTATGGATGTCTGATTTTCTTGTTATGTCTATATCTTCTTTTTAAATTTCTTACAGTATTAAAAATTATTGAGTTTTTGAATATTTATTTTCAAATGAGAACTTCACATAAGATTTATGTTTAGTTTTTAAGGCATTAAAAAGTATTCATCAAGAGTATAATGGGAATGAATTACCAAAGCAATTAGTTCTGTTGAACTAATTAGTTAGCAATTAGTTCAATTGAACTTTAATGTTCAAATAATGAAAATCCAGTGAGTTAGTTAAGCTCTCACCTTTAAGAATTAAACAAAGCAAGACTTAAAGTCTAGCTTAAACAAAGAAAGTTTTTTCCAATAAAATGGAAAACAAAAGATGAATGGTTAGAAGAATATCAAAGTTAAGGAAAATTTAGATGAATAGGAATCGGGTTTAGTTGCGAAATTTACCTCTCCCATGCCCTAAAAGGTTTCAAATTGTCACCAGGTGATGAGGGGAGACCTATCAGAAAGCAGAATCGGATGGAGAAAATGCCCTTTGGCATGTTGACGCAAGGCGTCTTGATGATTTTGAACTTCACTTGATTGAGTGTCTGACTAACCAAGTTCAGGTGCACAGTTTATAGAAAGTGAGTCTGTCCTTAAAAATCGGAATTATATCAATCTCCGTTCTCTCTTTCATTCTATCTGATTGGTCATTCTCCCTCAATCATGCTTTTGGAGTGGCAGGTCCCTTGTTACGAAGTGTAACGGGACTCCTGGAGTGCAAGAAAGGTCAAAATCGAAGCCGAATTCGATCTCTCACCGATCATAGGACGACATTCTTCTCTGATTCATGTTTTCTGTGTTGCAGTTTGATATAAACAAAAGATGTTGGACTTCAACCATTTTTTTTTTCTATTTTGCCTTTTTAAACAATTAAATTTTTTCTCTAAATTGATGATTTTTTCGTGATTTTCATGATGGCTCAGACCTATCCAGGACCTCACATATTTATTGTTGCTTTTTTTATGTTCTTTGATGAATTGTATGGCATGGTTATCATACATTCGTTTTTTTTACTATATAAATTATCTGTATAAATTAAAATTAGTTTTTTATGTAGGAAATGGTTACAAGATCCACTGAAGATGGTTAATCCAAATGATGTTGAGCAAGATGTAGCAGATATCAGAAGAACAATATATAAATTAGAGAAAACATTTATTGATGTACCTGCTGCTAGTAGAATTGCTGCACAAGTATGGGTTTAAATTTTATTTTTAATTTTAAGAGTAATATGTTTAATTTAAATTATTTACTTTTTTTAATTTTAAATGGTGAAAGTAAACTTTATGAAAATAATATCAAATTAAATCATTGATAATTAATTAATACTCTAATGTGTCTTATAAAAAGCTTTATAATACAAACCATAGTACACTATAATATGTAACTTAGTTATTTCAACTTCAGTTTTGGTTTTTGAAAAAATTGAAACTAAAATTATGGTTCTGTAACTGAGACTGATTTGTTCTTACTGCAAGCACATAATATAAGTAGACATTGATGTAACAAGTAACTGAACTGATCAAAAACAAAGTAAACATTTTACATGCATTTTTTTTATAGCTACTTCCATATTTTTTCTACTGCAAATCTCCCCAGGATGGCTTTAATTTCCCAAAACTCATTCATGCAATTGGATATATTCTGCATCCCTGAATAAATGTATTTCAGTGTTTAAATTGCTACAAGCAAGAAATGTTAATATATCAACAATACTTAGTTTAGTGATAATTGATTTATAATAGTAATTTAGGCATATTTTAGGTTTAATTCGTTAATTACATAAACCAGTATTACATTTCCATATACATAAGAGCATGTTCTTATAGATGAAAAAGAATTGACACTATTTTCTGTAAAGTATCTAAAAAACTATTTTTTTAAAAAATTGTTATAGTATCAGAAGCATTTTTTTTAAATTTTGGGTCTGAATTTTTAATAATAGTTACCACAAAGATATCACAAAATAGTTATTGTACCTGTTCATTTACATGTAATTTACATTGACATATCAGTTCAGTGCTCTTATAAGCTAAAATGAGATGGCACATATAAAAGCATATTCTTATATGCATAGAAATATGGTATATATTTTTAATATAATATTACTTAGTAAATTTAAATTAGTAATCAAATTAATTAACTGCTAATTATATTTAAAAGCAACATTTATTTTTATTTTGCAGTTTTTATTCTTAAACTTATGAAGTTATGAAATATTTACAAATTATTTTTGAATTTTAGGTTAAATTATCAGTAGATAAATTTAGAAACTATTTACCATTAATTCAAACGGTATGTAATCCAGGATTAAAATCCAGACATTGGGATCAAATATCTTCTGTTGTGGGTTTTTCAGTACATCCAACAGAAACAACAAATGTCAATGATCTTATTGATCTTAAAATGATGGAACATGTTCCAAAATTAGAATTTATTTCTGAAGCTGCAACTAAAGAATACAGTCTTGAAAAGGCATATAATAAAATGGTTCTTGACTGGAAAAATGTATGTAACTTTTAAACATAAAACAATTTAATAAGTTATTTTTAAAAATTAATAATTTTTTTATAATTAAAACAAGATTTTTATTTTTTATTTATAATATTTAAGTATTTTAAGAAATATTTATTATAAAATCCTCAAAGATAGAAATAAAGTAATTTTGCTTATTTCTTTTAAATTCTATATATTGTTTAATTTGATATTAATACTCACATATGTGTAGTAAACTATTTTCTATAATAATATGTATGAATTAATGTTGTTGATTTCATTAAGATATCTGTAAGTGATCATTACACCTGTTTTGAAATATTTTATGGTAAATTTGCTTTCATTTAATACGAAGTCACAAAACCTTGTTATTGGGTTTTCATATACTTAATATATGAGGCTTGCCAACAGGGATGGAGATGGGGACTTAAAATCGCACTTCTCTGACATCATGTAAGGTGCCAACTGTGTGTGATTGTTGGGATGGTCAAGGGGTCGAGACAGTTATTTGTGAGCATGAAATTCACTGAGACAAGTTTATCCTCTTTACCTGTTTAATGAGATTAAAAAAAGGATTTTCTTACAAATATCTCAATGTCACTGTTGACACAAGTTTACATGGTTGAGAGTTCAGTAAAGTCTTGAATAATTCACAAAGAGTCTTTCTTAGTTATGGTCAGCAGGATCAACAGCCCTGGAGCACACTGCAGCCTGGAAACAGGTGGTCCTCATTCCAGGGATGAATTAGGAATGCCACAAACAACTCCAGGAGATTGGATGTCTCTTGGAGAAAGATGATGGGTTGGATGAAAGATTTTAACGGGAAAACAATGGTTTGGAGCAAAAAACAAAGAACTTTGCATCCTTGAAACATGCATTTTTATCCATTTTTTTCCTCGATTCTGCTTTCTGATAGGTCTCCCCTCATCACCTGGTGACAATTTGAAACTTTTCATGGAAGAGGTAAATTTCGCAACTTAACCCGATTCTTATTCATCTAAATTTCCCTTAACTTTGATATTCTTCTAACCATTCATCTTTTGTTTTCCATTTTATTGGAAAAAGCTTTTTTTGTTTAAGCTAGACTTTAAGTCTTGCTTTGTTTAATTAAATTAGAGCTTAACTAACTCACTGGATTTTCATTATTTGAACATTAAAGTTCAATTTTTGTCTGATACTCATACCATTTCTATTTGCAGTTTCTGTAGTATTCATTCTCTCAGTTTTTGCTAATATGTAGTATTTTATCATTTATCATATTAGCATTGGTAGTATTTAAAATGATTAAGTTGAGAATACAAGAATCAACAGTAAATTAGAAAAAAGAATTTACATTATAACATATGAATGAATTATACAAAAAAATATGTTTAATTATATATTTAATAGTTTATATTATACTGTTTTTGAATTAAAATTATAAAAATTAGAATAAATATCTCATCTTAAATTTTTTAGTTTAAATTATTTAAGTGAAAAAAGTAATATACATCCAATTTGTTTTTATTTGAATTTTTTTATAAGATTTGATATAACAGTCTGAAAAACTTCCATTCTCTTTTTACACAATTTGTTTTGATTTAACATCTAAATAGTTCAATAAATTTGTTCCTTTTAAAAATCTCCATTTGATTTAATTCTGAAAAAAAAATATTTACTTCTTTTTCTAAAAAGTTTCTCTTTTTAAAGAAAAATTCTTAGAATTTGCACTTAAGACTGCTACAAATTTAATTCAAAGATTAAATTAAAATTTCTTTGTATGATTGTGTTTCTCTCAATTTCTTTCAATATGGGACCCATTAGTGGTCAAGTGGATAACACCACTGAACACAGGTTTGGGTTGAACTGTAAGGAACCAAGTCTGAGCTTTATTTTTATTTTACTTTTATTTTGCTTTCATTNAAATTAGAGAAAACATTTATTGATGTACCTGCTGCTAGTAGAATTGCTGCACAAGTATGGGTTTAAATTTTATTTTTAATTTTAAGAGTAATATGTTTAATTTAAATTATTTACTTTTTTTAATTTTAAATGGTGAAAGTAAACTTTATGAAAATAATATCAAATTAAATCATTGATAATTAATTAATACTCTAATGTGTCTTATAAAAAGCTTTATAATACAAACCATAGTACACTATAATATGTAACTTAGTTATTTCAACTTCAGTTTTGGTTTTTGAAAAAATTGAAACTAAAATTATGGTTCTGTAACTGAGACTGATTTGTTCTTACTGCAAGCACATAATATAAGTAGACATTGATGTAACAAGTAACTGAACTGATCAAAAACAAAGTAAACATTTTACATGCATTTTTTTTATAGCTACTTCCATATTTTTTCTACTGCAAATCTCCCCAGGATGGCTTTAATTTCCCAAAACTCATTCATGCAATTGGATATATTCTGCATCCCTGAATAAATGTATTTCAGTGTTTAAATTGCTACAAGCAAGAAATGTTAATATATCAACAATACTTAGTTTAGTGATAATTGATTTATAATAGTAATTTAGGCATATTTTAGGTTTAATTCGTTAATTACATAAACCAGTATTACATTTCCATATACATAAGAGCATGTTCTTATAGATGAAAAAGAATTGACACTATTTTCTGTAAAGTATCTAAAAAACTATTTTTTTAAAAAATTGTTATAGTATCAGAAGCATTTTTTTTAAATTTTGGGTCTGAATTTTTAATAATAGTTACCACAAAGATATCACAAAATAGTTATTGTACCTGTTCATTTACATGTAATTTACATTGACATATCAGTTCAGTGCTCTTATAAGCTAAAATGAGATGGCACATATAAAAGCATATTCTTATATGCATAGAAATATGGTATATATTTTTAATATAATATTACTTAGTAAATTTAAATTAGTAATCAAATTAATTAACTGCTAATTATATTTAAAAGCAACATTTATTTTTATTTTGCAGTTTTTATTCTTAAACTTATGAAGTTATGAAATATTTACAAATTATTTTTGAATTTTAGGTTAAATTATCAGTAGATAAATTTAGAAACTATTTACCATTAATTCAAACGGTATGTAATCCAGGATTAAAATCCAGACATTGGGATCAAATATCTTCTGTTGTGGGTTTTTCAGTACATCCAACAGAAACAACAAATGTCAATGATCTTATTGATCTTAAAATGATGGAACATGTTCCAAAATTAGAATTTATTTCTGAAGCTGCAACTAAAGAATACAGTCTTGAAAAGGCATATAATAAAATGGTTCTTGACTGGAAAAATGTATGTAACTTTTAAACATAAAACAATTTAATAAGTTATTTTTAAAAATTAATAATTTTTTTATAATTAAAACAAGATTTTTATTTTTTATTTATAATATTTAAGTATTTTAAGAAATATTTATTATAAAATCCTCAAAGATAGAAATAAAGTAATTTTGCTTATTTCTTTTAAATTCTATATATTGTTTAATTTGATATTAATACTCACATATGTGTAGTAAACTATTTTCTATAATAATATGTATGAATTAATGTTGTTGATTTCATTAAGATATCTGTAAGTGATCATTACACCTGTTTTGAAATATTTTATGGTAAATTTGCTTTCATTTAATACGAAGTCACAAAACCTTGTTATTGGGTTTTCATATACTTAATATATGAGGCTTGCCAACAGGGATGGAGATGGGGACTTAAAATCGCACTTCTCTGACATCATGTAAGGTGCCAACTGTGTGTGATTGTTGGGATGGTCAAGGGGTCGAGACAGTTATTTGTGAGCATGAAATTCACTGAGACAAGTTTATCCTCTTTACCTGTTTAATGAGATTAAAAAAAGGATTTTCTTACAAATATCTCAATGTCACTGTTGACACAAGTTTACATGGTTGAGAGTTCAGTAAAGTCTTGAATAATTCACAAAGAGTCTTTCTTAGTTATGGTCAGCAGGATCAACAGCCCTGGAGCACACTGCAGCCTGGAAACAGGTGGTCCTCATTCCAGGGATGAATTAGGAATGCCACAAACAACTCCAGGAGATTGGATGTCTCTTGGAGAAAGATGATGGGTTGGATGAAAGATTTTAACGGGAAAACAATGGTTTGGAGCAAAAAACAAAGAACTTTGCATCCTTGAAACATGCATTTTTATCCATTTTTTTCCTCGATTCTGCTTTCTGATAGGTCTCCCCTCATCACCTGGTGACAATTTGAAACTTTTCATGGAAGAGGTAAATTTCGCAACTTAACCCGATTCTTATTCATCTAAATTTCCCTTAACTTTGATATTCTTCTAACCATTCATCTTTTGTTTTCCATTTTATTTAGTTGCGAAATTTACCTCTCCCATGCCCTAAAAGGTTTCAAATTGTCACCAGGTGATGAGGGGAGACCTATCAGAAAGCAGAATCGGATGGAGAAAATGCCCTTTGGCATGTTGACGCAAGGCGTCTTGATGATTTTGAACTTCACTTGATTGAGTGTCTGACTAACCAAGTTCAGGTGCACAGTTTATAGAAAGTGAGTCTGTCCTTAAAAATCGGAATTATATCAATCTCCGTTCTCTCTTTCATTCTATCTGATTGGTCATTCTCCCTCAATCATGCTTTTGGAGTGGCAGGTCCCTTGTTACGAAGTGTAACGGGACTCCTGGAGTGCAAGAAAGGTCAAAATCGAAGCCGAATTCGATCTCTCACCGATCATAGGACGACATTCTTCTCTGATTCATGTTTTCTGTGTTGCAGTTTGATATAAACAAAAGATGTTGGACTTCAACCATTTTTTTTTTCTATTTTGCCTTTTTAAACAATTAAATTTTTTCTCTAAATTGATGATTTTTTCGTGATTTTCATGATGGCTCAGACCTATCCAGGACCTCACATATTTATTGTTGCTTTTTTTATGTTCTTTGATGAATTGTATGGCATGGTTATCATACATTCGTTTTTTTTACTATATAAATTATCTGTATAAATTAAAATTAGTTTTTTATGTAGGAAATGGTTACAAGATCCACTGAAGATGGTTAATCCAAATGATGTTGAGCAAGATGTAGCAGATATCAGAAGAACAATATATAAATTAGAGAAAACATTTATTGATGTACCTGCTGCTAGTAGAATTGCTGCACAAGTATGGGTTTAAATTTTATTTTTAATTTTAAGAGTAATATGTTTAATTTAAATTATTTACTTTTTTTAATTTTAAATGGTGAAAGTAAACTTTATGAAAATAATATCAAATTAAATCATTGATAATTAATTAATACTCTAATGTGTCTTATAAAAAGCTTTATAATACAAACCATAGTACACTATAATATGTAACTTAGTTATTTCAACTTCAGTTTTGGTTTTTGAAAAAATTGAAACTAAAATTATGGTTCTGTAACTGAGACTGATTTGTTCTTACTGCAAGCACATAATATAAGTAGACATTGATGTAACAAGTAACTGAACTGATCAAAAACAAAGTAAACATTTTACATGCATTTTTTTTATAGCTACTTCCATATTTTTTCTACTGCAAATCTCCCCAGGATGGCTTTAATTTCCCAAAACTCATTCATGCAATTGGATATATTCTGCATCCCTGCATAAATGTATTTCAGTGTTTAAATTGCTACAAGCAAGAAATGTTAATATATCAACAATACTTAGTTTAGTGATAATTGATTTATAATAGTAATTTAGGCATATTTTAGGTTTAATTCGTTAATTACATAAACCAGTATTACATTTCCATATACATAAGAGCATGTTCTTATAGATGAAAAAGAATTGACACTATTTTCTGTAAAGTATCTAAAAAACTATTTTTTTAAAAAATTGTTATAGTATCAGAAGCATTTTATTAAATTTTGGGTCTGAATTTTTAATAATAGTTACCACAAAGATATCACAAAATAGTTATTGTACCTGTTCATTTACATGTAATTTACATTGACATATCAGTTCAGTGCTCTTATAAGCTAAAATGAGATGGCACATATAAAAGCATATTCTTATATGCATAGAAATATGGTATATATTTTTAATATAATATTACTTAGTAAATTTAAATTAGTAATCAAATTAATTAACTGCTAATTATATTTAAAAGCAACATTTATTTTTATTTTGCAGTTTTTATTCTTAAACTTATGAAGTTATGAAATATTTACAAATTATTTTTGAATTTTAGGTTAAATTATCAGTAGATAAATTTAGAAACTATTTACCATTAATTCAAACGGTATGTAATCCAGGATTAAAATCCAGACATTGGGATCAAATATCTTCTGTTGTGGGTTTTTCAGTACATCCAACAGAAACAACAAATGTCAATGATCTTATTGATCTTAAAATGATGGAACATGTTCCAAAATTAGAATTTATTTCTGAAGCTGCAACTAAAGAATACAGTCTTGAAAAGGCATATAATAAAATGGTTCTTGACTGGAAAAATGTATGTAACTTTTAAACATAAAACAATTTAATAAGTTATTTTTAAAAATTAATAATTTTTTTATAATTAAAACAAGATTTTTATTTTTTATTTATAATATTTAAGTATTTTAAGAAATATTTATTATAAAATCCTCAAAGATAGAAATAAAGTAATTTTGCTTATTTCTTTTAAATTCTATATATTGTTTAATTTGATATTAATACTCACATATGTGTAGTAAACTATTTTCTATAATAATATGTATGAATTAATGTTGTTGATTTCATTAAGATATCTGTAAGTGATCATTACACCTGTTTTGAAATATTTTATGGTAAATTTGCTTTCATTTAATACGAAGTCACAAAACCTTGTTATTGGGTTTTCATATACTTAATATATGAGGCTTGCCAACAGGGATGGAGATGGGGACTTAAAATCGCACTTCTCTGACATCATGTAAGGTGCCAACTGTGTGTGATTGTTGGGATGGTCAAGGGGTCGAGACAGTTATTTGTGAGCATGAAATTCACTGAGACAAGTTTATCCTCTTTACCTGTTTAATGAGATTAAAAAAGGATTTTCTTACAAATATCTCAATGTCACTGTTGACACAAGTTTACATGGTTGAGAGTTCAGTAAAGTCTTGAATAATTCACAAAGAGTCTTTCTTAGTTATGGTCAGCAGGATCAACAGCCCTGGAGCACACTGCAGCCTGGAAACAGGTGGTCCTCATTCCAGGGATGAATTAGGAATGCCACAAACAACTCCAGGAGATTGGATGTCTCTTGGAGAAAGATGATGGGTTGGATGAAAGATTTTAACGGGAAAACAATGGTTTGGAGCAAAAAACAAAGAACTTTGCATCCTTGAAACATGCATTTTTATCCATTTTTTTTTNGACGACAGACTCCCGTTCATAGGCGCATGCCTCATGGAGGGACAGAACTGGCCACCAAACCCAACGGAAGTATTTAGCAACAAAAAACTGTGGAGAAGGCTAACGCAATTTGTGTATAAAACAAAGACTCTAAGCACCAATGGCTTCAGTAGAGAGAACACCAGTTCTACCAACTAGTCACAGCCTAAAGATACGCCTTTCGTGGAACAGGAGGTGGGGAAACGGGTAAAAAAAATAATTATGGTAAATGTACGCTATATAACATTCCTGTAAACACCGGCAGTGCTGTGTAATGTATTGTAACATTGTTTTATTTCTGCTGGTATCGGTTGGGCCACCATCTGTAGTCCGGTACATTTTGTTGTACCCCAGCTGCCAATTCCGTTTACTTTTGTTCAGAATGGTGATCCATTTATGCCAATTGGTGTTTATTTTCTATTGGCCTCCCACTCTCCTCAAAAACGCTACAAATGTGTTAATGTACTCTTTATCTTTAAAATTTGTACTGTCTGGTAATAATTACAACTATTTCCTTCTTAGTTTCTCGTCATTATTGTCATTGGTAACCCTTCGGTTTTGGGTTGCACCTTCCAATTCTGTAAATCAACTGTTTCCTGCTGCTTTGTAATTGTCAAAAGTCTTCAAAGTTTGTATTCTATGACAACCACTTAAAATATTATGTAAACATATTGTAATCTTCTGGTTTTATTTCAATGAATGTGATACAGGCACCCATGGGGCCTCCCATGCCTTCCTTTCAAACTTTACTATTACCCTTTCTTTTCACACTTTGACCTATTGCTTTTTCCTTCTTTCCATTTCCAAATAGGGCAAAGTCCGTAACCATGAATGGACAGCTCTCTTATCTCTTTAACTTGGTGTTTAACTTGGTGTAGATACATGGGGGCTATGTCCCCTGGCTTAGTTGGCACTGCCTGTATGCAGTATTTATAATATATGCTTTTGCTTTTGTCATGTAAACTTAGACTACTGTTATGCTTTTAACACTTGGACTGTAGATAATAGGTGTAACTATAACATTTGCAATACCTAAAACATCTGTAAACTGGCTGTGCTTATTGCGGAACCAGTTATGTAATGTTGGTTACGACATTAAAAGATTTGTGTGTGTGTGTAGATAATAGGTCTGGTGCTGGCTGAAAAACAAAAAAATACTTATCAGAATTTTTTCAGTTTGTTCCAATGATTTATTCCTGGCCATAAGACTGCATAACAAGGAGCTGATTCTCTATAGAAAGTCCTCTTGAGAGGCACCCCTTCTTAATAGATTGCTCATGTGTTATCTTGCCTTATCTCATCAACCAAATCTAATTCAATTCTTTCAATAAGGAACGGTTTTTGTAAGCCATTTGAAGTCAAAGCTAGTGTGAGGGCCCAGAAGGAAATTGATTTTGTTGTCCCAATGTTGACAATCAAACAAGAAATTAAAGATCTCCTATTTCAGAAATGAACAAAGGAAGAATTAAAGGTTTCATTTGAACAAAGAAAGTTTTTTTTTATAAAATTTAAAACAAAAGGTGAATTGTGTGGAAAAGACCAAAGTCGAGGAAAATGGAGTTAGAGAGGAATTGTATTTAGCTGCAAGTTTGACCTCTCCTGCACCCTCCATGGGGTTTCAAATTGTCACCAGTGACAAGGGCAGTCAATCACAAAGCAAAATTGGGGGTAAAACATATAATAACACATGATTCAAGGATGTGACATTCTTAGATCTTTGTTTATCATTCCTACAACTTGGTGTTTCTGTAAACATCTGCTGTTGGATTTACATCTCCTTTTGAGTGACGTTTTTTGAGTGACTCCCCTGAAATTATTATCCTGCTTCAAGAATCATCCCTACTACCAGGATCATCTGTTTGAAGCTGAACAGTGTGCCCCAGAACCAACAATTTCAAAAACATCAATAAAGGACTGAGAGAAAACAGTGTAAGGAACTTTCAGACTTTATTTAGTTTCTCCCTGCAAGAATTGTAACAATGGAGAATTAGCTCTTTTGTAAGAAAACTAATAATTTATTAAACAGTCAAAACATGGAAAACCTGTCCCAGAGAGTCTTTTCCACTCCCACATGATAGCTGTGACCACATGACTGTCCTGACAAACACACCATCGTCAGCAACCTTACACTAGAAATATTTTGGTGTTTAATTGAAAAATTCAAATGAAAAATAAAATAAAATTTGTGCAAATAATATAAATGAATAAAATTTTTCTGATAAATAATTTACAGTTGTCTCTTCTCTGATTTAGTAACTAAAATTAAAATACTTTGTTTAAACACGCATTTCATCATATTAATTGGTTTATCATATTTGCAGTCTGGAACTAACCTTCAATTTTCCATGTTTTACATGACTATTTTATGGAGATTTTTCAGGAAGTATAAAAAGAGAATTGAATGTACTGTACAGTACTTAAGACTGGTTTATGTGATATGACTACATTTGATATTTTGTTGCATTTGAAACATGCTGACAAGATTTGTTAACGATTCATATATTTATATGATGCACAAGAATATGACTTTTGAGTTGTTTTGAACATGCACAAAAAGCATTTATTTTTCTCAAGAGTGATGACGTGATCTAACATGTAATTTCCATCTCATCAACAATTGGTTTGATGATGCAACAATGAAAAATCTGATAGATTAGATTTTCTTTAACATGGTTTCAAACCAAAGTCACTAATAAGTCACAGCTTTGTTCAAATTTGTGCATGTTATGCTTTCAAGTGAGAGAATGTTATCAATAGCAATAGTCTTATGGTATACAAAGCTTTTAGAATTTTTAGTATCAAACTAAAAGCATTAACTGTTTAATTTAATTTTCAAATTTGTATTTTATATAATAGTAATGAATTTTTTCATATAACTTATTTTATTGGGCTGCAATTTGAAAAATATTGTAGACCTGTAAATTTCCACCATTTTTGTCATTTGTTTGTCTATCCATCTGCCTGTCTTTCATGAATCTCGAGAATGGAGTTAGATAGATAAAATCCAAGACCTGGTATGGAAATCTTAGGGGCAGAAGGCCCCAATTAACTATAAAATAACTTCCACTGCAAACCAGAAGTCATGTTATTTTAAATTAATTAAAAATATGATTAAAAATTACAGCCCAGCATTGTTTATTGTGACGATGTCACAATAAATAATTGCTGATTATAAAATATATTTCTTTATGGAAATTTCATATTATATTTATACAAATTTATTATTAAAATGTTATCAATAGGGTAAATACCTTGTGATTTTGTTAAGAAATTTACTTAATTAATTTAACTTAAAAAAAGTAATGTTATTTACATATAATATATTCATTTGTAATATAAATAAATATAAATAAAATATGTTTCATTTTAACTATTAGGTGGAATTTACATTAATTCCTTACAAAGATACTGGAACAACTATTTTGACTGCAATAGATGACATTCAGCAACTTCTAGATGATCATATTATGAAGACTCAAACTATATTAAGTTCACTATTTGTTAAACCAATAGAAGAAGAGATTAAGTAAGTATGATTTATTTTTGTAGAATTAAAGATTAATTAGAAAATAATGACTTTTTCAAATGTTATAGATAATTGAGTTATTCCAGATTACTTGCATATTTATAGAATAGATTTCTCTATGTTATGCTGTTTATTAGACTTTCTGAACAGGACCAAACATGTCTTGTTATTTTAAAATAGAAATAAATTTTTCATGTTGAGTCCAAACATCCATTTTTTTACATTGCTGTGAACATCATATAAAAACAAGTAAAATAATTATATGAATAAAATTGTTTCTATTTTATTTCTTTAGATGATGATTTATTTATGTTTGTTTGTTTTATTTCAAATTTTATTTAGGTATGCATTGATATGGTTTTTGTGTAAGTCATTTTTGATACAAATGAAATTGGCATTTCAATTCTAATTTTAAATATGAATTTTATATTAAATTTTATAAAAGCATATTTATTTATTTATTTGCTATCTGTAAATCTATAAATTAACTTTTTCCATGTATATTAATCTGTAAACAATTGATGAAAGTATAATTTTTGATTTAATTAATGATTTTCAATATTTTTTTATCAAACTCATTAAGCAGAGTTTTGAAATACTTTTTGTATTATATTTGATTATTGTTTTACAATACAGTCAAATCTTAATTTGTACATTGAGGAATTCAAAAATATTTGAATTATAAAAAATTTGAATTATTCATTTTTGAAAATTAAACTAGTTTTTGCCAGTTTCTAGTGTGGCGTGATGCCATTTATTTATGTATAGTTTTTAAATTATGTTATTTTCATTTTCTATCACTTCCCTTTCCTAGCCTATCAATTTCTCTTTTGTTCTTGAGTTTTATTTGTTTCCTGAGTTTGAGAACTTTCCACCCTTGCCTTACTTCCATGGGTGTGAGCATTAGACAATAGAGTGGAGAAGACCCTGAGGGCAAATATTAGTGTAATCAGCACTTTTTGGTCAAGTTCCCAAGGAAGTCAGATGTGCAGAGGATGAGCTCTGGGCTTTGAGTAATGTCATAAGTGACAGGGTACGACTGCTAAGATATATGGTTGGTACAGAAAATGCCGATGAGTCCAGAGAGTTGAAACGGGAAATCTTGTTTGGAAGACCAAAAGAAAAAAGAACTAGTGACAACTAAAAAAGAAAATATATATACTAGTGAAATTTAGGAGAACTGCAAAGCTATATTTGGACAGTTTCATCGTGATACGTGAAGTAACAGGTATCCCTTTTCTAAGAATTCTTTCTATGTAACTCTATCTCCCTATCTAACATCTCTTCCCTCTTTTAACATTAATCAGAGTAAAAACATAGGTTGTAAAGTAGTTTTAAGTGTGGCTGATTTTTGTGTATAATTTCGTGATTTGAACCCCATGTGTGTGAATATCGAAAAGTGATTGAGAAGATCCTTTTGTGTAACAATCTTGATTGTACTATAATGTTGTATAAAAGTATTCACTAACAATGCATCAGAGTTGGGACCTGATATTTTTTTGTGTTCATACTATATAAAATAAAGTTCTGTTTTTTATGTTATACCTGTTTCTTATTCTCGTTGCACTGAACACTACACTAGTGTTTATAAGTATTTCATACCCTTTGGCAATATCATATATCTTCTTTATTTTTTTTCACTTCTTTAATCACCTCAGTCTTTTAGACTAAAGATAAATTTGTGTATATTTTATGATTACATATTGCAAAAACATAGCTAAACTATTTTACTATCTAGATTTAAACATCAAAACTGAAATACAAGACAGTTTTGTCCATATCCTAGAATTTTATTCAATGCCAGTATTATTTTGGGGAATCCCTGAAACATACACATTCTATAAATCAGTTGATTATATCTACTTTCTCTTTTCAAGTTTCATTTTCAAAATATGAGATGTACTAGCTTTGAATTATTCAAGTTTATATATAAAAGAATTTAAATTTACTGTACTTTTTAAACATTAATTTAAATATGAACGGAATTAATAATGTAATTTATTCAATAATTTAAATCAATCAGGTTTTGATTAATCAGATTTGACTGTATATATAATTGATATTTGTAAATATAGAAATCATTGAAATTAATTATCAAACAAATTTTAGATTTTGGAAAGAAAAATTGCTAACAATACGACAAATATTAGATGAATGGTTGAAAGTACAAGTAACATGGTTACATGTGGAGTCTATATTTGCTTTTCCAGATATTATGAAACAAATACCAGAAGATGGAAGGTAATTAATATCAATATTCTTTAATTTAATAAAATGTTTAATATATATAAATATTTTTTTAACTCTGTGAGCACTAAGAGGGCCTTTTTTTAGCTTGCCTTTATGGATTTAGCTAAGCCCTGAAATGGGATAGCTGGATGATGAGGGATGGGCCCAACTTATTTGGGAAGACTATCCTGTGAAAAATTTATGGGATTTTTCAGCCCATCCAGATTTGATTCCAGGTCCTCCAAACTAGTAGGCTGCCATCTTAGCTGCTTGCTCATCTGGCCATTGATGTTTAATATATTATTAATTAAAACGTTTTATTATTAATATTTATAAATCATTTCTGTTATCTTAAACTTATTTTTACGTTAAAGTAAATGTAACATTATATTGCATAAAATACTTTAAAAATGGAAATGGTTTTGAAAATGCATTATATGATTTCATGAGGAAAACCAAAAAGAGATCATTTTAAGAGAAAATAAAAAAAAGTAGTCTAGAATAACATTCTTTTGGATATTTTTAGCAGAAAATATTCAAAAGAATGTTATTCTTGATGTATATACAGTAGAGCATTGTTTATCCGAATCAATTGGGGACTGGGATTGTTCAGATAACTTATTTTTCGGATAACCGATTATGTACGAAAAAATATATTAACCTATTTATGTTGAAATTTTTCTCCGTTGCGTATTGCTTCGCATTCAATTTTCATCGATGTTAAGCCTAACATAAATTTTTTAAAATAATAATTGTGGCTATTGTATTGTTAAAAATTATTTCTTTATTTTGTACAAACAAAATAAATACATTGAAAAATATAAAAACAAAAAAAAAATTATTTCAGAAGTTAATCTAGTATCAAAAACGTTCTAGTATCTAGTATCAAAACAATATGTTTATTTTGTTTGTGCAGAATAAAGAAATAATTTTTAATGATACAATATGGTCATGCCAGTGATGCCAGCTAAAACATGCACACCAACAAAAATAATATTGGAGTAGCCCAAGATATAGCCAAATATTGCAGTGCCACAGCACTAGTGGAAATTTAAATTTGCCAACTGGAACACTTTTGGTTAACCGGCATTTTGGTTGATCAGCTTTTGGATAAACGACATTCTACTGTACTAAATTATTCTGAAAACTATTTTATGGATTTCTGTTCTTAGAAATATATAAATGAAATTTTTTCATTTCATTTTCATAAAGCATGATTTATTAAACAATAGCAAACTGTTTTAGAGGATTTTGAGAAACAGATATAAAATCATGAACAATATGATAATTTTGTAATGGAAAAACAGAAATAAGACACACTAAGGCACTGCATTATTTAAATACATTAAACAATAACTAAAATGTTAGATTTTAGCAATAAATTATGATAAAAATTTACATTTTAAATTATACAGTGGAACCTCGCTTAACAAGCATAATTTGTTCCAGAATCTTACTTTTAATGCAAAACACTCATTAAGCAAAACAATTTTTCCCATATAAATTAATGTAAAATACGATAATGATAATATGTACCATGCTGAAAAAAATACTCAAATACTTTATGTATAACGTTTATTCAAAGAAAATTATACAATATACATTGTTAAAGAGCATGAATCATCATCATCTTTTCTTCTAGTGTGGAATGAACCAACTTGTAATGCAAATTCGATTTACAGAAAACAAAAAAATCACAGCTAATGTCTGATAAACATGCCAAACGATATGCCAAATTCTTGGGCTATGTAAAGGCTATTGTGAATTCTAGGGGGCAATTAAGTAATTAGATTAATTAGTTAAACTAATATGCAGTTTATTACAAAGTGGGAAAAACCCACTTTCTTTTCTCACCACCTGGCATTTCCATTGGCCTCTGAGCCAAGATAAAAGATGATCAAATAACCATAAAAATCAACAATTTTTAACAATGTTTTGAATAAGTGTTGAGAATAAAGCTAAATATATGGTTATTAAAAATTAATGGGGGAGAAACATCAAAATCGGTTAAATTATGAGGTAAGAAGAGTCACAACATCTCAGTGGTGATGTCTAAGAACTTCGAATTTGTTGCCTTATATGGTAAAAAGAATCAGAATACCTAGCAAGAAAGTATCAACAATCCAGCTCATTCCAGCCAATGCAATGACACATCTCGACCTTAGATCACATTAAATCAAAATCACCTGATTCGACTCCCAAAAGAATAGAGAGTCGAATCATGTTCTCTTCACTCAGGGAGAATAAAAAGGACTCAAATTCGATCATCGGGTGGACTCCAGCATAGAAGAAGCTCTACTCACCAGCTCCATGACACTCTACAGATTGCCAATACTCGACTAGATCCACGATCATCTTGCTGAGGTCATATGAATAGGATCCAGAAACATCGAGTTATCTTTATGATGAGGTATCGTACTTAGAGTTGTACTCCCATTTGTAAGCTCTCTCTCTTAGTTAGAAGTAGATATTAACGTGGAAACAATATCCCTAGAACCGTGTGACCGAGCATAAGTTAATTAGCTGTATATTGTAATCTGCTTATTTTTATAATAAATGTGTTATTTTGTTAACTTTGTAACCTGTCTTTATTTGGCAGAATGGACACCCTGTTGATTTAACTGTGACTTTCCCACTCGACAACATAGCCCTTCTGTTTAAAGCCATCCAGTGACACTTGAGCAGATCTCATCAATCCAACGCCGATCAAAAGGGGTTTAACCCGGTATTAATTGTTCCCTGGCTTCTCACATTATAATTAAATATTAGAAATTAATTAATTTGACTAGAGGTAGACAGTTATGCTGCCATCTTGTGTTAAATTTAATAATTATAAATAATTAATTTTTAATTTAGACATTTCTGGAATTGGTCATTAAATTTAATATGAGATAGTATCATAACTGCCTACCTCTAGTCAAATTAAACAATTTCTAATATTTAATTATAGCCTTTACATAGCCCAAGAATTTGGCATATCGTTTGGTGTGTTTATTATATAGCGGGCTATGGTTGTTGATGTTTATATGTAATATGTCTGAACACAAGTTTGGAAAAATGTGTGATCACAAACAACACTAATATGCTAGTGGAAAGAGTGCTAAATACAGACTGATGGAGCATGCGCACATCCTTTCTTGTCACTCATTATGCAAAACATTGCTCGTTAAGCAAGTCATTTTTTTACAAATTTGTTTTGCTAGTTATGCAAATTGCTTATTAAGCGCGGTTCCACTGTACTTGAAATACAATTCAGAATATGTATTTAAAATTATAACTGATTTCGTATCTAGATAGATATTATTATTATTAGATAAATCAAAAATAATTGTACAAAAGATAAATAAAAGAAATTTAAAAATTAGAAATCGTAGCATATACCTATTATATTTATTATTGATATTGTATTCTACATTTAATTATGTATATTACTGTAAATTCACAATTCTGAAATGAAAAGTAGGTCTTGAAAAGTCTAAAACATTACATGTGAAAATTGTTTAAATTATCTTGCAACATCTAATAAATAAGATTCAAAAAAATGAATACATAATATTAATATAATTCAATATAATTTATTTATAATTCTTGTACACTCTAAAATAACTTAGAATGTGCAACTTATTCAAAAGTTATTTGTTAATAAAAATTCACTAATATTTTTTAGTTTTTAAACTAATTAAAACATTTTGTTACTTTTTAATTTTAGATGTTTCAATATTGTGGACAGAAATTGGAAAAATATCATGAAAAGTGTTGAGGCTGATCCTCATGTGTTTGTTGTCTTAGAAATTCCTAAAATGTTTGAGAAATTGAAAAAATCAAATGATTTATTAGAGAGACTAATGAAAGTAACTAACAAATTTATTTATTTAAAAAAAATTAATTTGTTATTTTATTTATTGTTTTGAAATTTTTTTTTCTAATTAATTTCTAAAATTTAACTTCAATCAAATAGGGTTTGAGTAATTATTTAGAAAAGAAACGTCTTTTCTTTCCTCGATTCTTTTTTCTATCAAATGATGAATTGCTTGAAATTTTATCTCATATTAAAGAACCAATGTGGTAAGATAATTCTATATTTAATATTTGAATTATAATTATTCAATTTTACAAAAACTTATAAAATAAAAAAATAATAATCTATGGTATAATTTTGAAGTTATTTATTATTATATTTATTTATTAGAAGAACTGATAATAAAATTTCAAGGATTAAACTGAACTGAAAAATTCATTCCATTTTTCATTTAAATATTTTTCACTCCAAAAATTTTTTATTTACCATGCACTGTTACCATTTTTTATTTATAATACCATCCACTGTTTATTAGAATAAATAAGGTATATTAAACAGTTTTTAATTTGATATAATAATTACTAACAAATGAACTTTTACAATAACAGTGTTCAGCCACATTTAAAAAAATGCTTTGAAGGAATATCAAAACTTCACTTTACTGAAGAAATGAAAATAACTCACATGATAAGTAGTGAAGAAGAGGAAATAAAATTAACACCAGAAATTATTCCAGCTAATTCTCATGGACATGTAGAAAAATGGTTGTTAGAATTAGAAGCATCAATGAGAAATAGCATTTATAAGGTACAGTGTATAGTTATGTAAAAAAATAATAATTAAACTAATATATTAAATTACTATTGTTAAACAAGTTTTTACAAACAGTTCCAATAAAACAAGTTTTTATAGTAAACTTTATGTTTTATTATTATATCTATTCATATTTGTTTATGTTAGTGTAAAATTTTTAATGTGAACAGTGGTTATATATCAATAATCTAAATATCAATAACCAAAAAAATGTATATGAAATTTGCAAATACTGTGAAGTACCATTTATGTTATTTTACATTGATCCTAAAATGTACCTGTTCCTTACAATGGTAAAATATTAATTTATATAGGAGTTTAATGTGTAATTGTTTTTTCTAATGAAAATATACATATCTCAATATTTTTCTCAGTATGTTATCTCAATAGAAAACATACTCCAAATTTCTAGAGTACATTGTTCTATTCTTGTTTCCTTTTCTTCAGATTCCTAGAATTCAATGTAGAATAAAAATAATAATATTTGCGTACAATTCTCTAACCGGAAATAAATATTTTTGGAGAGCTAGTGGAACAAGCTGAAAAATTTGTATATTTCTCTTTTACTAGGCCTATTGGCTACAATCTAAGTGTTAAAGAAAAAAGCAACAATAGCCTAAGTTTACATTATGAAAGAGAAAGTACCATACATATTACATATATTGATTGTGAATACTGTTGACTAAGCTGAGGGGACATAGCCCTTCATAACTATGGCTCTGTTTGCATGTTACTCAAAAGACTTATTTAACTATTATTAGTTATTTAGTCAAATATTTACTTGAAAAATAATAGATGACTTCTTACAAAAATAAAATTTGCAACAAAGCAAAGCAAAATTATGTCAAAGAAACATAATTAATTCTGTTATATATTTTTTATAAGAAATATTATTTGATCACAGAAATATGATTAATAGATATAAATATTAATTCAACAGACATTTTTATTGATTTAAGTAAAGAAATCATTAATTTTTTAGAATCATTTTTCTATACTATTTTACAGGTGATAATTGATGCAATGGAAGCATACTATTTTAATCCACGTGAGCAATGGGTATTGCAATGGGCAGGACAAGCAGTCCTTTGTGTGTCTTTATGTTTTTGGACTGCAGAAGTTCATAATGCTATTAAAACAGGCATTTATGTAAGATTTTTTATAATATCCTCTCCTAATATTATTGAATTTTAAATTTTTATTATTGGAATGGTATATTGATGGTAATGCTGAATTATGTCATTTACAGTGGAACCCCGGTTAACAAACATCGTGGTTAACGACCAAATCGGTTAATGAACTTTTATTTTGCAAAAATTTTGTCTTGGATAATGAACAAAATTTGGTTAACAAACTTAATGGCTTTTTGTGTCAAATTTGTAAGCTTGCCGACTTTTAGGGAAAATCAGTTAATCGTGTGTTGGTGATGGTCTAGGGTCTATTCGTACGTTGGTGGTGGCGGAGGAGACAAATATGACAAGTATTTTACAGTGAAAATTGTTTATTAGAATGGGAAGATGCTTACATATTTGAGGTAGTTGGAAATGGCTTATCTACAGTATTTTCTCTTGGCACTGAGGAGTGGCATATCGCTGGTCCTACGATAGTGCAAGCTGATCAGTCATAGCCCCAGAATGGCGAGATGGGTTCACTTGGTCACAGAAGCAATGGTAGGTGACAGAGCTGCAACGACTGGAGTGGTCTGCGAGACACAACACAAATTTTAGCAGGCACAACTTCAGGCTTAATCCAGATGAAGACGACACAGATTAATCGCCACAGAATTTTTAGGAAAACTGCGTTTTGATCTTGAGATTCGGGGTTTTTATAGTATTTCTTCCTTGAATCTCACCTTACGATTAGTCCTGTGTCCTATTCCTAGCTTCCTGATTGTTTTCTTCTTTGTCTTCAGGTGAAAACCGAAACCAGATCAGGTCATGAGAAAAGTTTGTTCCGAGGCGTTTATTTGACACCTGTTTGTCGACTCTGATCAGAGATTGTTGATAAACCTATAAGCCTTTCGCTCATAATTTAGCCTATTGTTTCTGCTATCTGTCATTTTAGAACTTCAACGATCGTATGTGATGTTTTTATACCCGTCAAATCTTTCCCCTTTTCTGAAAATTTAACCTAGATTGACTGTTTATGAGCACGTTTTCCTATATTTTCATTAAAGAAAACCCATTTTACAAATAAAATTACAAAAATACTGACGGCTAGAATGGATTAATTGTATTTGCATTAATTTCTATGGGAAAAATTGCTTTGGTTAACGAACGGACTCGTAGAACAGATTACGTTCGTTAACCAGGGTTTCACTGTATGTTGTTATCTAATATATATAAAATGAAACTGAAATTATTTCAAATATCTGGGAAAGAAAAAAGCAAGANAAATTTAATTTCAGGCTTTAAAAGACCTTTATGTTAAGTGTAATAAACAAATTGAAAAAATTGTTCATTTAGTAAGAGGCAACCTCTCAAAACAGAACAGGATTACAGTAGGTGCCCTTATTGTATTAGATGTTCATTCCAGAGATGTTGTTGACCTTCTTGTTAAAAAGAAAATTAGTTCTGATAAAGATTTTCAGTGGATTTTTCAACTGAGATATTATTGGAAGGTAAATATTTAAGTATATAAGCTACATTTTTTAATTATGTTTCCTGCTAGTGCATTTTTCATATAGGTGGACTTATCACACTGGACACACTGTCCAGTGTGATAAGTCTGCCAGCATGAAAAGTGCACTAGAAGGAAACATAATAAATCAACTGGCAGAAAGCAATTTGGATAATACATTTTTTTTTAGTTATTTTTTAATAAAGAACTTGAAAATTATTTAAATTATTATTAGTTTGCATAAATTAATAATCTTTTACCAATATAACTTAGGTATTGTCTTTCTAGATTAATTCATTTTTTATGAATTTTATACAAACAGTATTCATTAATATACAAAATTGTAATATTAACACTTTTAAAACAATAGTTTAAATTATAAATAATAGAAATAAAATAGTAATTTATGTCAAAAATGATATTTTGTAATGTTTTATGTATTAATTTTAGAGTAATTTTTTAATATATAATAAATGAAAATTTTTAGCTGATTTTACTATTGATTGAAACTAATAATTTAGTCATCAGTAAAATCAGTTTTTTGTGATATATATCATTTATTTTTCATGTTTATATAATAAAACTAGGTAATTTCATGTTTCAAATGTATATTTATTATTGCAGGCAGTCCCCAACTTAAACATGCATTCTTAATAATATGTAAAAAGGTTAAACAATAGTTGCACGTTACAATATAAGTCTTATTTCCGGAGAGCTAAAAATGAAATGCACAAAATATTTTATTTTGTAAAAGTTTTATTTTTTATACAGGAAATATGTTACAATGCATAAAATATTACTTTAAAGCATTAAAACCTTACATTAATGGGAGAATAGACAGCAAGCTATCCTGCTGGTAGGTGCTATTGGCAGGATGGCTGTGCAAGTAGGATAATCCTACCAGCAGTATACCAATATTCCATAAGCTCTTCCTACTGGTAGGATGGAGAGTAGAATGGATAGTAGGATGGTCTGAGAGAGAATGGGAGAGACAGTGAGTCAAGGTGACTATTGAAAAATTGTGAATTTTTGTATATTATAAATATATAAAAACATATAGGCATCTCTTTGAGAAAGTATTATAAGAAAACCTTTTAGTCTTCTTCAGTTGATATGTCAGACTGTATTTTGTTCCCATTTGTGTACCAGTATACATACAGTAGTTTTCCGCTAATCCAAACATCTGCCTAATCCAAACATGTTTGAGATTGTGGATAGGAAATTTTCTAGCTCACAAAATATATGTTTTTTGTATTTTCTAGTTGAATTTAAATGGTATTAGTGGTACAAAAAAATATAGAATTCCACAACAAAGAAAATTGTATTTTATTTTAGTACTATATTAATACTGTACAAAATTAATAAATCAGTGTTTGACATGGCCTATTAAAACAGCAGATCTGTATAATACTTATACACATAAACAGAAACAAAAGTCATTGATAGTGTTGGATCTATATAAACCAGACCTGTTTTACTGCTTGCTTCTGTATTATTTCAATTATTCGGTTAATCTGAAAATCTGCCAATCCAAACAGGACTTTGTCTGGACTAGCAGGACTCTACTGTACATATAATGAATGGTCTAAGTATAAAAGAATGAACTTTTGTACTGAACTGGATTATAATATGTAATCTGAGTATAAAACACAAATTGTGTTTCTGAAGTCAAAACACTGGCATATTTACTGACATTAGGAATTAGTGTAGCAAGCCATGAATGACAATATGCAAATCAGTTTTGGCCAGATCCTGGTTCACAAAGAACTGGCCAATATCTAACTGGCTTTTTGTTACCTATGATTAATATGGAAGCAAAAAGCACAACATCACTGCACACATTGCCTGGCATCTGCAGAACTGGGAGATTGGAGTTAATGGTTCATGTTTAATTCTGCAATTCCTAGTCACAAAGTTGTGTATTTTGTTGTTGCTTCAAAGCTTGAACTACAAGATGAGATATAGTTCATCCTGATGGTATGTGTCCTTACTATATAATAAAGGGATTAAAATCATCTTACTAAGTGGATGATCTATCCTATCAATACGATGATATCCATTCTATTATTAAACAGAAAATGGACAATAATAATTCATTTATATAAATGATTTTGATTTTACTGAAAGCAGTATACTAAAGCTCAAAATTTTTATTTGTTGGCTGAAATTTTTGGCATACAAAAGGTAGTTTAGAGATATTAAAATATGTATTATGTATGAAAAAACAAGTCAAAATGTTCAGGAATATCTATACTTAGGCTTAAAAGTTTCAATTATTCTTTAATATTACAATTTTGAAAATTGTTATTTCTAGGATCAAACAATGATTACAAGCATGATAAATTGTTCTATGAAATATGGATATGAATATCTTGGAAACACTGGTAGACTTGTAATTACACCATTGACAGATCGCTGTTATCGAACATTATTTTCTGCTCTACATTTACATTTAGGAGGTGCTCCAGAAGGACCTGCTGGCACTGGAAAGACTGAAACAGTTAAAGATTTGGCAAAAGCTATTGCTAAACAGTGTATTGTATTTAATTGTTCTGAAGGATTGGATTACATAGCATTAGGAAAATTTTTTAAGGTAAAAATTATTATTTTACCTTCTTAAAAATATCAGACGTGTCTCTTATATCGAATATTGTATAAGCTCTTCCCAAATATCGATTTGGAACTCTTTTTTGTCGATGCTGAATCGACTTTAAATAAAAATATTTATATGAGTTATGGCAGTGNTATAACAAATATAAAAATGATTTACTAAATTTTTTTAATTAAAAAATTCAAATAGTTTTGTTTTAATTAAACAAACAACTTTGAAAAGGGAAATTATTAAATAAAATGAAAAATATTTGAAATTAATTTATTAATTTTGACAAATAAATTGAATGTATTTACATCAGAACAAATTATTGATTTGTATAATATTTAAGATAATTGACAATATCTTAAAAATTATATATGAGAATATAAAACAACCAATTATAATAAAAAATTTCATTAAAATATTGTCAGTTCCATATTAGACCAAGTTTTACATGTCAGAAGCAGTTCCAGCTGGTGAAAGTTTTTTAAGAAAAATTTGCTATTTTAAAATATTAATATTAATTAAATATATTACAAATATATACACGTTTACTATATTAAAATTATTTTATCATATATTTAGGGATTAGCATGTTGTGGAGCATGGTCCTGTTTTGATGAATTTAATAGAATAGATCTTGAAGTTTTATCAGTTGTTGCTCAACAGATTTTGACAATTCAGAGAGGAATTAATTCTGGAGCAAAGACACTAATGTTTGAAGGAACTCAAATAAAACTTGATTTAACATGTGCAATATTTATTACAATGAATCCTGGATATGCAGGTCGTTTTGACTTACCAGATAATTTAAAAGTTAGTTTATTTTTAAAATTATTTTAATTTTAAACTGAATTTTGAACTACATATATTTTTATTGTGTGGATAATTCTATATTAATTACAATGGTTCAAAATCAAAATTGCTTTCAGGCTTTGTTTCGACCAGTGGCTATGATGGTTCCTGATTATTCTATGATATCAGAAATATATCTCTACTCATATGGATTTGTGAATGCAAGACCATTAGCTATAAAAATAGTAGCAACTTATAGACTTTGTTCTGAACAGTTATCATTTCAACCACATTATGATTATGGTATGAGAGCTATTATATCTGTATTAACAGCTGCAAAAAATTTAAAAGTAAGTATTCAGATAAAACTTTATTTTAGATTTAATAAATACAATGAAAAAGTTTTAAATTAATTATATTAATTAAAACCATTAAAATTGTACTTTCATTTCTGAGTGAAAATTTATAAGTAGTATTATTTAGTAATATATAACATATGCAAACTAATTCATTAAAATTTGAATGTTATGTTAAAAGTTATGTTCAGTATTAAAATTTTGTAATCTTACATAATTTATACAGGTATACCTCGACTTACGTCGTTTTGAGTTACGTCGTTCCCGATTATACGTCGTTTGTCAAAAAAGTATATGGAAAATAAAAATCGAGTTTAAGTCATTTTATTAGACTTTACGTCTGTCCGCCACAAATATTGAAGTCGTAATATCACTAGAAAAGCGTTTAAAGCACATAAAATCAAGTATATACTGTATTTACAGTACCTGCATTCGTAAATTTTGATTACTTTTTTTGTATTATATTAAAAACTAAAATTTAATAAAATTGTTTGTGAGCTTAATAAATAAAATACAGAACCGGGAATGGTAATTTATGGTTTAGCCTAGTGACAAGTAGATTCGGAGACAAGTAAATTCGACTTACGTCGTTTTTCGACTTACGTCGTTTTCCTGGAACCAATTACCGACGTAAGGCGAGGTATACCTGTATTAGCAATCTCTAAACTTTTATATTAGGACCCTTTCAAGGATTTTTCAATCTTTTATTAACCTTCTTTTTTTTTTTGCTAATGTAGTTAATAATAATAATAATAAATAAATCTGAGTCCATATTAATCCACATGCCATTTTTATACACCCACAAATGTCAAAGAGGTATTTTTAAAATACTAATAATGAAATTATTGTTTTTATTTAAATAAAAAAAATTTAGTGATTTAATATAAATTATCCAATTATTTTCATTGATTGAGTTATATACTTGAATCTTCAACTAAGAATATTCTTTCTTAAAATGCTATTTTGTATAAATAAATAAAACATAAAATAACTTTTATCTTTTCACATAATGCATTATTTTTAACAAAATCTGATGATGGTATTTTATTGATAGCAAAAATATCCAGAAGAAAATGAGGATGTCATTATCCTTCAAGCAATAAAAGATGTAAATTTACCCAAATTTTTAAATCAAGATATTCCATTATTTTCAGTAAGTACAGTTTGTAAAATTAATTTATGTTTGTATATTCATATTATAAATATATACAGAAATACATTTAAAAAAGAACAATATATATTCAATAAGTGTTTTTTTAGGGAATTATTTCAGATTTATTTCCACAAATTAAATTGCTGAAAATAGATTACAAAATATTAAATGAAGCTATAACAAAAAATTGTAATTTGAATAATCTTGAAGTAACTGATTTCTTTTTGGAAAAAATTCAACAGGTATTTTAAATTTATGTAAAATTATGTAATTATGTAAAATTTAAAATTTATATTATAACTAGCAGATGAGCTCGGCAATGCACAGGAAAAAATAAAAGCAGCAAAGATTAAGATTATTTAGATTATTTTGTATTTCTAACTTTTTTGTTATATTATATTATAGTATTTGATTTATATTTACAAAGGTTATATTACATAAGGGTTTATCACACCAAGTAACCAATCTAAAACATTTTAAAAATTCTTTAAATTGTGTACAGTAGAGGAATAAAAAATTTTTAAAATGTGTTAGATTGGACACTCAGTAACCCTTATGTAAGATATGTAAGATAACCTTCATAGTTATGTAAATCAAATACTATAATATAACAACCTTAAAATGAAAACCATATAAAAGAGTTTGGTTACTCCAGCCTATCATTGTCATGTTTATCTTAATACACAAATTCAATGGTCAAATAGACAGGAATTGAAAATACATCTGAAATTTTTCAGATATCATAATATTTTCTAATGTTAACTCTAAGAAACTGTACCATTCACAGCCGAATATCAAATAGTAATCTGCCAATGAATCAAATTTCGCAAAAGACAGACCAAATGTTTAAACTTATCACCCTCAAAATATACTTAAAACATATTTTGTGCTCATCGGTAATCTTGAATTATGTAATTTCTATTCAAATGACACCATATTGCTGGTCCAATAGGAAAAAGGGACTGTTGCAGAAAGGAGTTAAAGTAATTTGACCAAAAGTAGTAGTTGACCTCCTCCCAAGAGAGAGGATGATCAACAACTACTAATTAATACCCTGGTCTATTATTAACATGTGAAAAATAATTTGTCTTAGACAGGTTGTGATGGTCCTGCATGTGATCAAAGTTGCTAACCTTTACATCTGAAAGACTTCATATAAAACTTTTTTAAATAAAAAATTCTTGTAAAAATACTAGAATAATTGCTTTTATGTGATAATAAAGTGTTTAAATATTGGCAACAGTTTGTATAAACTGTGTGGGAATTNCATGTGAAAAATAATTTGTCTTAGACAGGTTGTGATGGTCCTGCATGTGATCAAAGTTGCTAACCTTTACATCTGAAAGACTTCATATAAAACTTTTTTAAATAAAAAATTCTTGTAAAAATACTAGAATAATTGCTTTTATATGATAATAAAGTGTTTAAATATTGGCAACAGATTGTATAAACTGTGTGGGAATTATGTTCTCATAAATATTGCATCTATAGAAAAATTATTGGACTGCAATTTGAAAAAAATTGTAGACCTATAAATTCTGACTATCATCCCGTCTGTCTGTTTGTCTGACTGTTCTTCCTTAAACTCAAGAAAGGAGTAAGATAGATAAAAGTCAAGACCAAATATGGAAACTTTTGGGCAGGAGGCCCAGATTATCTATATACAAACTTCTAGTTTGAAATAGAAATAATATTACTTTAATTTAAAATTTTTCCCTAAATGGAATTAGATGTATGACCAACATGACTTTATTGCTAACAGGAAAAGAATGATGAACAGGAGCAAGATCATCACAAAAAGAATTGAAAACATGGTGACAAAAAGTTGTAGCTTAGCATTGTGATGATGTTACAGTAAATAATTGCTCATTAGGATTAGTTTGGTTTATTTGGTTATGGTAATGCAACACGTGAGCAATCTGCCAAGGTGCATTCCAAAAAGACTTTTATGTAAAGCTGGCCCCAGTGTAAGTGTTATGAATGTAAAGAAAACCCAGAAAACTCTACTTGGCCAGTCCATTGACCATGCGCAAATCCACAACTGATTAATGGTGTTTGGTGGTTTTATCCACTTGGTTACTGGAGTATACTTATTGGGCTGCAATTTGAAAAAATTTGTATAGCTATAAATTTCCAGTTGTCCATCTGTCTCTGACCTTCTTTAATCTTGAGAACTGAGTTAGATAGATGAAAGTTGAAACTAGACATGGAAATTGTAAGAGAAAAGAACCAGATTTATCTGTATATGAACTTCTGATTTGTACTGCAAATTATGTTATTTCAATTGAAAAATTTCCCTGAATGGAGTTAGATACATAACCAGCGCGACTCTGTTGCTAACAGGAAAAGTATGATGTACAGGGGCAAAACACTACTACACTCCACGCAAGCAAGTGCAATGTGCTACATGTTACAGTAATGACAAAATGGCACATCTACAGTGCTATATCATTGTTGCATTAATTCAGTGAATATAATATATATTTTTTTAAATTATATTCTTTTTTGTAAGAATTATATTTGGTTAATTATTTTGTTAAATTTTTTGCCAATAGATTATGCTACATGTAAAGCCAGCAATCAAATGTACACAGAAATTAATTGGTATATAAAAATCCAATTGATAATTTTGGATGGAATGTACGACATGATCTAAGCTAGAAGTAATTGAACATAACTGCTGAGTTTTGTAGCAATTGGTCGAATGGCCTAGGAGTGTATAGCAAATAAGCATCCTCATTTATATATATATACTGTAAGGTCTCTTTTTATGCAGATTATTTTTATGTGATTTTGAAGTTGTGCGGTTTGTATTTCATCCAAACATTTCTTGGATAAACATACATATAGGCTTGTTTAGGAAGCCCGCGTATAGACAGTCTCCAAAAATTGTGGAACGCTCAAAGCTCACTCCATTTGTTCCACTGACATATAACGTTTATGGATGTAAAGGACAGCTAGATCTACCTTAATCGCTTTAGTTCCTAGCAATTTTTGATATAAATGTAATTAAACATAAAAAATACTTAAAACTGAAAAAAACGAAAGAAATGCGTTAATTTTGAAGAAAAAGCTTCAAAGTTTAACTTCCTTTGTCTCGCCCTTCTGTGAAATTTAACACCGATGAGTCATTGTTTACACATCTGGATGACCTTGAACACAGCTGGAGTTGGATTTCCCGGGGCATTCTCATAGACGTCGCGGGAGGACAAGGGTTTAAAGTAGGGTGAACACTAGCTGGCCGTATATTTTTAAATATTTTTAAAAAATTTGGAGACTTAAAAAACATTCCAAAAATTCAAAAAAAAATTTCAAAAATGGCCTTAAGGACCGTGTTTTATGTAACGCTATGTAACCTGCCCGAGTTAACTCGGGCGAGGAACTAAAGGGGTTTTAATTAACTCTTCACATCCAGATGTCAGTGATTTGTTTTTAGAGTGAGCTTTTGCAATTCGGGGATTCCCCTTGTACATGATACCATCGACAAGTCGCTATTACATCATTCTGAGTTTCGCATTGAAAGGTATAAACTGTAATTGTTTTGAAATTAAATTTTATATGAATTTCTTTCAGACATTCGAAGTAATTTATTAAGCAGCCTATTTCTTTTAATTTCTGCAAACTTTTTTATGCGGTTTTAAGTTAATTTTAACTCGTTGTTTTGGTTTTATGCGATTTTAGAAAATTACGGAACGTATCCCTACTTTTTCAAGGCAAGTAAAGTCTTTTTTTATGTGAATTTTTTATATGCGCTTTTCTGCAGAACGTATCCACCGCATAAAACGAGACCTTACAGTATATAAATTTTTGATACATAATGTATCAGTTAGGAAAAATATATAAAAAGATTTCTATGTAAATTGTTGGTTATCAAATTAATTAATTGTATAAAAATAGTTTTCCTCTGTTGTCATTATTATTTCCTTGCTCAGTATACTGTATATGTCAGTGTTTCTCAACCTCTAACGAATCATCGCCCCCCTTCAATGTAGTATCACCCCGTTCAATAAAATCGTTACATAGTATCACCCCCTTCACTACAAAATTCCGATGTCGAGGGGCAAGGCTAACGCCAAATTCATACTGCATCGAATAGATTAGTGACTATATAATGTTATTTGTTTAATTATTGTACGATATAACGAATAAAATATCTAATTATTCTTAATATAATGTTTTACTATATTGCCCAGAAAATTGTTTTTTTGCCTCATAAAATATAAATTGTTACTAATCGCCTCCTGAACATGGAAAAACGCCCACATAGGGGCGATATCACTCCCATTGAGAAACACTGGTATATGTAATAATAAAACAGTTTTTATAAACTTTAAATATGTTTTCACTTTTTTTTTTAAATATAAAAGTGAACACACTATTTGTCATCTGGTGCGATAAACAATATGTTGAATTAATTTACATCTAATGCAAATCCATTCATTTTCATTTGAAATAATGTACCAATTTAAAAGATAATATAAATTGTTTCATATTACAGTAGTTTAGTTGTACGTAATTTCCATTTAGTAGCAAAAATATCTCTGTTTTAATATTATATGAACAATATATTATTTAGTTTTATCTTTCTAAAATATTTACTTTAAACATCCAAAATAATTAATTTAATATTAAATATTTTCAAAAATTTATTATTGGAACATTAAAAATAGTTTCTGTCATATCTTGCCAAATGAAACTTTGATTGATCACTTCAGTTTTAATTTAAGCCTGTTTGTTTTAGAAAACTGCATTTTGATAAAACTGATGCAAGAACTTCATCTAATAAAAAATTTCATGATAATTTTTCAAATCGACATCATGATAATTAAAAAAATAATTATATATAATTATCACCTGTTTAAGTATTTCTAAATTATTTTATAAAAATATCTGTCATTTTAATCAGTTATCAAATTATTTTTCAGATTTATGAAATGATGATAGTTAGACATGGTTTTATGATTGTTGGGCATCCTTTTGGAGGAAAGACATCAGCTTATAAAATATTGGCTGCTACATTAAGTGATATCTGTGATAATGTTTGTATATCTAATATTTTGTTTATTAAAATAGTTATATAAAAAATAATTCTAAATTTATGTTTGATTGAAAGATTTGTATTTATAGAATATGTTTGTTTATATTTAAATTTAGTAATGTCTATTTAATTTATATTAAAATTTTCAAAATTTATGAATATACAAAAAACTAAAACATTTATTTTCAAAAATTATTAGATTAAATACTCACATTAATATACAGGGATGGTGCAAAAGTAGGTATACAGTTGTTATTATGGAAAAAACATATAGGGAGAAAATAGGAAGAAAAAAATTTTATTTTTATGTACAAATTAAATCACAAATAAATAAAGAAAACAAACTAATAAAAGATAATAAAAATAATAATAATCAACATTATACATTTATATTTCTCAGATTTTCAACTGTATACCTACTTTTGCACCACCCTGTATAATAGGTATATAGGTAATTGATGCAAAAACCTCTAATTTCTTTAAAAGTATAGTAAACAATAATTTGCTTGTACATCTGATGATCAGTTTGGTTGCTCAAAAGTACTTGAGAGAAACTTGTTATTAAAGTAAACTCCATTAAAGCAGATTCTTACTTATTATTTATGATATATAAATATATTTAAATATTAAGTAATTGAAAAAAAAAATTATTTATTAGCTATTTCTAGCAATTGAAAAGATTAAAATTCCATCAAATAAAACTTATTAGATGTTATGACATTATACTTTAGATCAGTGCCATAATTAGCTTCCGTGTGTCCTGTAGAAGATTTTATTTTTGTCTCCCTGTTTTTTTGGAAAAAATATAAAAAAACAAATACAATAGAAATTAGTTATTTATTTTTCAACTTACTAAAAAACGTTATGAAACGTCCCTATGGTGGTAAAATTTAAAAATAGAAATATAATACTGGTAATTTTTTACACCCTATTTTAGGACCCTTTGCCTGAGTGACTGTTGCACCTGCTTAGTTATTGCATTGCTTCAGATTAAAATTATATTCTAGATATAGATTCTGGAGTGTCAAAATTTAGCTCAGTTTTAATTTTTTAATATTTTATTTTGTCATACAACAAATGTTTGTTTAGTTATATTAATACATATGACACTGCTTTTTTAGCAGCTTTTAAACTTTCCCAAATAATAATCTCAAGTAAAAGTCTGACAATCACAAAACACCCATGTTCAAAGCAAAATTCAAATTTATAATCAGACAAACTAGAAATAATATAATGTCTACAGAGCAGAAAAAGTTGAAAACTAAAACAAAAATGTTCAACACATTCAGCTAATCTGTTGGCTAAATGTGTTAGGACATTGTTTCTAGTTCTTTGTTATATTCTTTGTCAATATTCACAATGTATTATCATCAGTTTAAAATATATAATTGTAATTTTTATTTTAGAATTTGTTGGACGAACATCATGTACAGTACAGAATAATTAATCCAAAATCTATTACGATTGAACAGTTATATGGTAGTTTTGATACTCTTTCTCATGAGTGGAATGATGGTGTTTTAGCCAAGAGTTATCGTGAATTTGCTAAAGCTGAAGTAAGAAGCATATTTTTAGTTTTAAAATTATTTTATTCAGAAAAAAATAACTTAATTTATAAATTTCATTGAAGTATAAAACCTCAAATTAAAATTTATATATTTTTAAGTTGCACATTAACCCCAATTGTGGAGACAATGTTTAGAAGCTGACAATGGTTTAGAGATAATCCAGACTGTAGTTCAGAAAAATTTCATTTCTGTGGCAAATAAGAAACATTTGCCACAGTTTAGAAGTGATTAGAAACCAGTTATTTGACCTACTATCCAGACTCAATAGCAGATTTAGACAGTGTTTTAATTTGAGTGAGTTGCCATATTGCCATATTATTTTATTGCCATATTGATTTATTCATCATAAAGTTTAGATAAAAATAGATATCATTTATTTAAAAAATATTGTAAACAGGATGGGATGAATTAACAAAATTATTAATTGACAATTACAAAGAGTGAGAGTAATATGAGATTGAGTAATCCTTTAAAAATCTATTCTCAAGATGAATTCTGAATTCAGTGTAAATTTTTCTAAACCTGGAATTGTTCATATTTTAAATCATTGATGATGAAATAAAACATGTAAATGGAAGAGGATTCCCATTAACTGCTGAACGGCAGTTGTTGTTATAGAATAATTTTACAGATAATGGACAGATGACAGTGTGAATATAAAGGTCAATTACTAAGTATTAAACCCAATCAACGTTCAAATCAAAATGAGTCTATAATTTTGAAAATGTAACAATAAATATAAAACTTTTTTAACTTATTTATTCGACAGATACTGAAGTTTTTATTTCAAAATAGCTTTGATGTGCAGAATTATGAGAATATCTAAAGAGAATATATTTGAAACTACAATGTTAATTATAAATTTATAAATTTAACAATGTTAATTATAAATTTATAAATTTAACAATGTTAATTATAAATTTATAAATTTAACAATGTTAATTATAAATTTATAAATTTAACAATGTTAATTATAAATTTATAAATTTAACAATGTTAATTATAAATTTATAAATTTAACAATGTTAATTATAAATTTATAAATTTAACAATGTTAATTATAAATTTATAAATTTAACAATGTTAATTATAAATTTATAAATTTAACAATGTTAATTATAAATTTATAAATTTAACAATGTTAATTATAAATTTATAAATTTAACAATGTTAATTATAAATTTATAAATTTAACAATGTTAATTATAAATTTATAAATTTAACAATGTTAATTATAAATTTATAAATTTAACAATGTTAATTATAAATTTATAAATTTAACAATGTTAATTATAAATTTATAAATTTAACAATGTTAATTATAAATTTATAAATTTAACAATGTTAATTATAAATTTATAAATTTAACAATGTTAATTATAAATTTATAAATTTAACAATGTTAATTATAAATTTATAAATTTAACAATGTTAATTATAAATTTATAAATTTAACAATGTTAATTATAAATTTATAAATTTAACAATGTTAATTATAAATTTATAAATTTAACAATGTTAATTATAAATTTATAAATTTAACAATGTTAATTATAAATTTATAAATTTAACAATGTTAATTATAAATTTATAAATTTAACAATGTTAATTATAAATTTATAAATTTAACAATGTTAATTATAAATTTATAAATTTAACAATGTTAATTATAAATTTATAAATTTAACAATGTTAATTATAAATTTATAAATTTAACAATGTTAATTATAAATTTATAAATTTAACAATGTTAATTATAAATTTATAAATTTAACAATGTTAATTATAAATTTATAAATTTAACAATGTTAATTATAAATTTATAAATTTAACAATGTTAATTATAAATTTATAAATTTAACAATGTTAATTATAAATTTATAAATTTAACAATGTTAATTATAAATTTATAAATTTAACAATGTTAATTATAAATTTATAAATTTAACAATGTTAATTATAAATTTATAAATTTAACAATGTTAATTATAAATTTATAAATTTAACAATGTTAATTATAAATTTATAAATTTAACAATGTTAATTATAAATTTATAAATTTAACAATGTTAATTATAAATTTATAAATTTAACAATGTTAATTATAAATTTATAAATTTAACAATGTTAATTATAAATTTATAAATTTAACAATGTTAATTATAAATTTATAAATTTAACAATGTTAATTATAAATTTATAAATTTAACAATGTTAATTATAAATTTATAAATTTAACAATGTTAATTATAAATTTATAAATTTAACAATGTTAATTATAAATTTATAAATTTAACAATGTTAATTATAAATTTATAAATTTAACAATGTTAATTATAAATTTATAAATTTAACAATGTTAATTATAAATTTATAAATTTAACAATGTTAATTATAAATTTATAAATTTAACAATGTTAATTATAAATTTATAAATTTAACAATGTTAATTATAAATTTATAAATTTAACAATGTTAATTATAAATTTATAAATTTAACAATGTTAATTATAAATTTATAAATTTAACAATGTTAATTATAAATTTATAAATTTAACAATGTTAATTATAAATTTATAAATTTAACAATGTTAATTATAAATTTATAAATTTAACAATGTTAATTATAAATTTATAAATTTAACAATGTTAATTATAAATTTATAAATTTAACAATGTTAATTATAAATTTATAAATTTAACAATGTTAATTATAAATTTATAAATTTAACAATGTTAATTATAAATTTATAAATTTAACAATGTTAATTATAAATTTATAAATTTAACAATGTTAATTATAAATTTATAAATTTAACAATGTTAATTATAAATTTATAAATTTAACAATGTTAATTATAAATTTATAAATTTAACAATGTTAATTATAAATTTATAAATTTAACAATGTTAATTATAAATTTATAAATTTAACAATGTTAATTATAAATTTATAAATTTAACAATGTTAATTATAAATTTATAAATTTAACAATGTTAATTATAAATTTATAAATTTAACAATGTTAATTATAAATTTATAAATTTAACAATGTTAATTATAAATTTATAAATTTAACAATGTTAATTATAAATTTATAAATTTAACAATGTTAATTATAAATTTATAAATTTAACAATGTTAATTATAAATTTATAAATTTAACAATGTTAATTATAAATTTATAAATTTAACAATGTTAATTATAAATTTATAAATTTAACAATGTTAATTATAAATTTATAAATTTAACAATGTTAATTATAAATTTATAAATTTAACAATGTTAATTATAAATTTATAAATTTAACAATGTTAATTATAAATTTATAAATTTAACAATGTTAATTATAAATTTATAAATTTAACAATGTTAATTATAAATTTATAAATTTAACAATGTTAATTATAAATTTATAAATTTAACAATGTTAATTATAAATTTATAAATTTAACAATGTTAATTATAAATTTATAAATTTAACAATGTTAATTATAAATTTATAAATTTAACAATGTTAATTATAAATTTATAAATTTAACAATGTTAATTATAAATTTATAAATTTAACAATGTTAATTATAAATTTATAAATTTAACAATGTTAATTATAAATTTATAAATTTAACAATGTTAATTATAAATTTATAAATTTAACAATGTTAATTATAAATTTATAAATTTAACAATGTTAATTATAAATTTATAAATTTAACAATGTTAATTATAAATTTATAAATTTAACAATGTTAATTATAAATTTATAAATTTAACAATGTTAATTATAAATTTATAAATTTAACAATGTTAATTATAAATTTATAAATTTAACAATGTTAATTATAAATTTATAAATTTAACAATGTTAATTATAAATTTATAAATTTAACAATGTTAATTATAAATTTATAAATTTAACAATGTTAATTATAAATTTATAAATTTAACAATGTTAATTATAAATTTATAAATTTAACAATGTTAATTATAAATTTATAAATTTAACAATGTTAATTATAAATTTATAAATTTAACAATGTTAATTATAAATTTATAAATTTAACAATGTTAATTATAAATTTATAAATTTAACAATGTTAATTATAAATTTATAAATTTAACAATGTTAATTATAAATTTATAAATTTAACAATGTTAATTATAAATTTATAAATTTAACAATGTTAATTATAAATTTATAAATTTAACAATGTTAATTATAAATTTATAAATTTAACAATGTTAATTATAAATTTATAAATTTAACAATGTTAATTATAAATTTATAAATTTAACAATGTTAATTATAAATTTATAAATTTAACAATGTTAATTATAAATTTATAAATTTAACAATGTTAATTATAAATTTATAAATTTAACAATGTTAATTATAAATTTATAAATTTAACAATGTTAATTATAAATTTATAAATTTAACAATGTTAATTATAAATTTATAAATTTAACAATGTTAATTATAAATTTATAAATTTAACAATGTTAATTATAAATTTATAAATTTAACAATGTTAATTATAAATTTATAAATTTAACAATGTTAATTATAAATTTATAAATTTAACAATGTTAATTATAAATTTATAAATTTAACAATGTTAATTATAAATTTATAAATTTAACAATGTTAATTATAAATTTATAAATTTAACAATGTTAATTATAAATTTATAAATTTAACAATGTTAATTATAAATTTATAAATTTAACAATGTTAATTATAAATTTATAAATTTAACAATGTTAATTATAAATTTATAAATTTAACAATGTTAATTATAAATTTATAAATTTAACAATGTTAATTATAAATTTATAAATTTAACAATGTTAATTATAAATTTATAAATTTAACAATGTTAATTATAAATTTATAAATTTAACAATGTTAATTATAAATTTATAAATTTAACAATGTTAATTATAAATTTATAAATTTAACAATGTTAATTATAAATTTATAAATTTAACAATGTTAATTATAAATTTATAAATTTAACAATGTTAATTATAAATTTATAAATTTAACAATGTTAATTATAAATTTATAAATTTAACAATGTTAATTATAAATTTATAAATTTAACAATGTTAATTATAAATTTATAAATTTAACAATGTTAATTATAAATTTATAAATTTAACAATGTTAATTATAAATTTATAAATTTAACAATGTTAATTATAAATTTATAAATTTAACAATGTTAATTATAAATTTATAAATTTAACAATGTTAATTATAAATTTATAAATTTAACAATGTTAATTATAAATTTATAAATTTAACAATGTTAATTATAAATTTATAAATTTAACAATGTTAATTATAAATTTATAAATTTAACAATGTTAATTATAAATTTATAAATTTAACAATGTTAATTATAAATTTATAAATTTAACAATGTTAATTATAAATTTATAAATTTAACAATGTTAATTATAAATTTATAAATTTAACAATGTTAATTATAAATTTATAAATTTAACAATGTTAATTATAAATTTATAAATTTAACAATGTTAATTATAAATTTATAAATTTAACAATGTTAATTATAAATTTATAAATTTAACAATGTTAATTATAAATTTATAAATTTAACAATGTTAATTATAAATTTATAAATTTAACAATGTTAATTATAAATTTATAAATTTAACAATGTTAATTATAAATTTATAAATTTAACAATGTTAATTATAAATTTATAAATTTAACAATGTTAATTATAAATTTATAAATTTAACAATGTTAATTATAAATTTATAAATTTAACAATGTTAATTATAAATTTATAAATTTAACAATGTTAATTATAAATTTATAAATTTAACAATGTTAATTATAAATTTATAAATTTAACAATGTTAATTATAAATTTATAAATTTAACAATGTTAATTATAAATTTATAAATTTAACAATGTTAATTATAAATTTATAAATTTAACAATGTTAATTATAAATTTATAAATTTAACAATGTTAATTATAAATTTATAAATTTAACAATGTTAATTATAAATTTATAAATTTAACAATGTTAATTATAAATTTATAAATTTAACAATGTTAATTATAAATTTATAAATTTAACAATGTTAATTATAAATTTATAAATTTAACAATGTTAATTATAAATTTATAAATTTAACAATGTTAATTATAAATTTATAAATTTAACAATGTTAATTATAAATTTATAAATTTAACAATGTTAATTATAAATTTATAAATTTAACAATGTTAATTATAAATTTATAAATTTAACAATGTTAATTATAAATTTATAAATTTAACAATGTTAATTATAAATTTATAAATTTAACAATGTTAATTATAAATTTATAAATTTAACAATGTTAATTATAAATTTATAAATTTAACAATGTTAATTATAAATTTATAAATTTAACAATGTTAATTATAAATTTATAAATTTAACAATGTTAATTATAAATTTATAAATTTAACAATGTTAATTATAAATTTATAAATTTAACAATGTTAATTATAAATTTATAAATTTAACAATGTTAATTATAAATTTATAAATTTAACAATGTTAATTATAAATTTATAAATTTAACAATGTTAATTATAAATTTATAAATTTAACAATGTTAATTATAAATTTATAAATTTAACAATGTTNATTTGAGAAAGTTAAAGAGAACAAACAATAATTAATTTTGATCATTTACTATTCAAAAAAATAATAAACAGCTGATTTTAAATATAAGTAAGTAGCTATAGGCACATTAAGAAAGTTGCACACAAATGGTGTTTTTAAACTTAATTTGATTTAGACTAAGACTAAAATCATGTAAATATGTTAGCTATCTAGTGATATTATCTTTATTTCAATTTACACAATTAATATCTAAGTAATTAAATTCTTGATTTTAATTGTGTAAATTGACAATATGAAAGGAAGTGTGTACTATCAGAAAGAATTTGAAAGAAAGTGTCAGTAGGACACTTTCATCCTGTATTTTCAATTGACAAGAAGACTGTCCTCTTGTCAATTGAGCTTTAGCATCTGTATAACAATATCAGCAGTATTGAAATTTTATCTTGAATAACAGATCTTGTAAACTTCCTTTCTGATCTATGCATTTGGACTTTGTATTCTAAAAAATTAATAGAATCCTAAACATCATAATGGAAGTAAAAGTAACTAAAACTTCAAGTATGAATTCACTAATATAAAATTACATTAACACTAATAAATTTTATTTTATTTTATACTATAACTTATATCATCTAGCATTGGATATTGCAAAAGTCAATATATTAAGTTAATGTATAAAGAACTATTCTGCTGGAAATTCTGAAAAAATATATATTTTCATACAAGTTTGTTGGTAGAATGAGACTCTCTGATCTTTTGTCATATTTTATTATATAACATTAAGACTAACTTGACTATATAAACTACGGTACACTACAGGATGAGACGAACACACATCTACATGTTGGTAGTCGTACATGAAAAGGTTGATTTGACTAGTTTTTTTGTTTCCCTTTGTGTTTTTGGGGTTTTACACGGTGTTGCCACTTCAAATTCTGCATGTAACATATTTATTTTCTTTCCACTAACAATCCCCCTCTCAAAGGGATTCTATCTATTCTTGATGATTTCTTCACTACTTATGTTGTTGTGGTGGATCAAAAAAAGGTTCAGTTTCCTGGGGTTTTGTAAGGATGTCATCTGTGTCTCTTTTAGTATATACATACTCTATTTGTATCATTTCATCTGTAACTTTCTCTTGAATGAAGTGGTATTTCACAGCTATGTGCTTGGTTTTATTATTTGACCTATTGCTGCTTGATTGTCGCAATTAATGATTGTAGGTTCTTTCAATGATTTGTGTTCAAGTTAACCGAGCATCTCTTTTATTTAACCTATATCCCTCACACATGTTGACATATGTATTCAGCTTCCATTGTACTCAGAGCTGTTACCAACTGTTTAGTACTTCTTCAGACCTCAGGTCCCCCTGCCATGAATATATATAATAAGACTCTTTTCATGGAATATATAGTTTCAACTTGCTTTAAAACAGTATTCTATTTTTAAAAATTTAGAAAATTATAGAATTATAAGTACATTTATTAATAATGTATTTCTTAAAGAATTCAACAATACTTGGACAATGGAGTCTTTGGAAGAATGAGGTTTCAAAAATAGAAATCACACCTACTTCAAATATTAATGAATTTATTATTCCAACTATTGATACTGTACGCTATTCATATTTATCATCATTATTAATATACCAGCAAATACCAATGTTATTAGTTGGACCAACTGGAACTGGGAAAACATTATATTTAACAGTAAGTGCACATTTTNAAATTATTAAAGTAATATTTTTTATTCATTGTATTAATAAATATTGATGATTTATTAAAGCCACTATTACAATTTTTTTAAATTCCTAATTTGTTTATAAACAATTTGTCAAAAATAAAATAGCTATATTATAACTATATCATGATATATACAGTCAAACACCTCAGGTTTTGAATGCCTCTCTTTTCAAACAATTTGGCCTATGAACAAAATTTTGAATGCCATATTTGCCCTGGTTGCCATACAATAACTTGATTGCCAAACAAGTTACTTAGCAAGAACCAGCCACAGATTAGAGAGAGACAAACAGTCTTTTTCTTTTATAAAACTCTCTTCCTGGTTGTCAGTCAGTCAAATTACAATGTTATTATTTTATTTTACTTGTACCTGAAAGTTTTCTTTAATATTTATTAACAATTAGTTTTGTTAGATCTTATTAATTTTATTTTTTAGTCACAGTTTAACCAGTGTGCCAGATTTCTGGCATGCAGGTCTGGTTATATACGGCATGCCAGTCAATTTGTGAAAATATGGTAATTAAATGATAGTCATTTCAGAATATTTAATTTCTAAAAATAAGCATAAAATTAAACTTTGATGTTAGATTAATAACTTTTAAAATTAATCACTTATTAAATTAGGCATTGAGATGTATTAATGAATGTAAAATATCATTGAAAATTATAGATATAACTATATGAATAGATAAATAAAAACAAATCTCTAAACCTCTTGACAATAAAGTTCCAAATATACTGATTAGATATAATACAAGAAGAATTAAATAAATTGAATAGTTGCTTTTCAAAAGATACATTTTATTCATTTATCACATGTATCTATAAGCGTATGTATAATTGAATCTTTCAAAATTTTGTTAGAACCATAGTAAGTCAAATAACTTTTTTCAATACTGTACATACATTATTTATTCAAATAATATTGAAGGATTGATACCATAAATACTTGATTATAAATTTTATTTTAAAATTATCTCAGGTATCAAGATGTGGAATGATATATATGCAACCATCAAGTTTAGGATGGGAACCTATATTTAAATCTTGGTTAAGAGCTCTTCCTGATATTGTTACAGAAAATAGCAAAATGAGATTAATGAGTTTATTCAACTACTTTTGCCCACCATTATTACATGTTGTGCATAAACTTCAAACATTAGTAAGTAAAGTTAGAGATTTAAATTTATTACTTTTGCAAAAAGTTATAATTTTTTTTCTATAATAATTTTTAAACAGTAAGAAAGATATATCTGACAAAATCTCAAAAATCATTTTTGTATTTCACTGAACTTTTATAAATACAAAAGTATCAAAATACTTTATTGGTGTTAGCTACTTGAGCTCTTTGTTTTAATAGTACTTTCCATGATATTGTAAAATATTATACTTATATCAATTCTCTTTTTCTTTCTTGCTCATTTAATGAAAAAAAAGTAAATAGTATTAGAGTGATGTTAGAAACTTTCTATACAGTGGGTGATCAGTTAATGAACAGTTTGGACAGCAAACAAATTGTATAATGAACACTTTTGTGAAAATTTTTATGTTCAGACTCTTAGCTATGAAAGATATATCAAGAACTCTTAAGCAGCTAAAGGAGTAATGTAAATCACATCTGAGAAATAAAGAGCATTTTAGAGCTCATAATGGAACCTGAAACTGATGTGACAACAGAAGAATACCAAGAAACTCAGCAAGATGTGTTTTCTTTTGAAAAAGAAGATGAAAGAGGACCGATGCTGATATCTGCTATTAAAGATCTTTTGAAGAAGTGGGAGGATGTCAGAACAATGGTCATCCAAACCAGAATGAGGTTAATAGGCTTGGAGATCTCTATAATTACAATGCTATTAATTACTTCCGAAAAATTCTGAAGAAAAGAGAAAAGCAATCGACATTGGACAGATTCTTTAACCTCCACAAATGGAAAAAACATGACTAATAAAAATTTGTAATTTGTAATTTGTAAAAGAGGGTGAGAGAGCTGTCGGGCCTTGGGAGACTCCATACCGCCTGACTAATAAAAATGCAAGACTGTGAATATATGTATTTTTATTATTACATATAAATAAGCATAGTAAGAAAGTATATATTTTTTATTTTTTGGAGTCTCCAGAATGAATTAATCAAATTTGCATAAAAACCTATGGTAAATTGATAATTGGTTAACGAACAATTCAGATATCAAACAAAGTCTTGGAACAGATTATGTTCATTAATTAACAAGGAGTGATTTCCAAGTGGTGGAGAGCAAGTTGGCATCTCTGCTATTGATACAATTTTCTTTGAGGGAATTCACAAAGATTTCTAGTGTTTCTATTGTTCTAAGTTTATAACTATCGAGTATTGGAATTAAACTCTTAGACTCTTCTCAGTTGGCTGTTACATTCGGCTCGCTTGCAAATTGTGCTAGGGTGGTATTAAACTTATTATTGTGTGTATTGTATTTATGCTCAACTATCCTTTTTGAAAGTGATCTGTTGGTTGAGCCTATGTATATTAAATTTTTAATCAGATTAAATCTGTTGTCCTCTAGTGGAACCGAGTATATTCCAGGTTTTCTGGCTTCACTGCATTAGCCAGAAGTTTATATATCAAAGGGTTGCATTTGTACATAAGATCAGCTTTGACCTTCTTGGCAATGATTTTATATGCTTGAATCATTCTAGGGTCAAAATCAACCACAATGCATTTTATTTGCTTTTTAAGAGGTCTGGGATTTATCCTTTCTGTTTCTAAGCACCTATGTATCATGTGAGCTAGACTATCTATAAGTTTACTGTTGTAATCATGGGCTATGGCAATGTGTTTAATGCATTCTATTTCTAGCAGCACATCCTTGATGTTAGAGCAATGGGTAAAGGCTCTTCTGATAAGAGCCCTGTCGCAGCTATTTTATAAGTAAATGGGTCATTAGATGCTGAGGAAATGAGGAAAGATTGTAGATGGGCTTATGGTATACATTATGGTATACAACCATATTATAGGTATATTTGGAGGTTGAGGAAGTGTGCCATCTTATCATCATGTTGATCTAACTTTAACTTAAGCCGAAACAGGTTGAAATTGACAGCCTGCAGAACACTGTCTATATCTGGCTTAAATCTCCAAATAATAAGAATATCATCAACATAACATGTGTGTAATATGATTTCAAGAATATGATTTCTTGAAGTTTTCAAGGATTTGGCTATCCAATTTTCTAACTACTAATTCTCAGAGGTCTCCAGAAAGAGGGCTACCCATTGGAACTCCTCTTTTTTGAAGATAGATTTGCTGGTTGAAGGTAAAAAATGAGGTGTAGCACATAAGATGATGGACTAGCTCTAAAATATGCTTGTGGTGTTTGGGCTTATGTGGAACAGCTTGAAAGAGGAAATCTCTAAGGGCACAGAAGCACAGTTTCAATTTGATGGATGGCTACATCAATTCAAAGTCTAGAACTGTAACATACTCTTGATCTGTTAGAGCAATATTTTTTAATTCAGCGATGAGTTCACAAGTGTTCGAAATGGTGTAGTTATAATCTTTCAAATGGTCTCTGAGGAGCTCATCTAAACTCTTCTTGATGGGTAGCGTTGAGGATCTCTATTTGTCCACAATGGGCCATATTTGTTTGCCTGATTTATGAGTTTTAGCATAGCCAAATAGCCTTGGTATCTCAGATGATTTCATTGTGGCATTTTTTAGTTGTAGGTGTTTGGTTAGTGGTGTATTCGTAAATCTTATAACCTTATTATGGAGTTTATTTGTGACTCTCTTTGTATTGGAATGTTGTATTAGTAATAATAGTTGAACCATCTATGCCCACACACTTTTCTTTCTAATACACTAAAAATTTTTTAACATCACTCCAAAATTGTGGTTCTGAAAGCCCTATTCATATGAAACAATTGAATTATTTCGAAGGAGTCCACTTTAGTTGCAGAAGCTTTAGTGTGACGAATGACTAATGGCACACATGTTTTAATTCAGTACTGTCATCTCACTAAATGCATTCAAATAATCAGATCTATAAATAACAGGGATTTTTGTTCCTGAAATTTGAATTAAAATGAAAAATGATGTGAAAATGTGTCATGGTGAAACAATTTTACAAAAAAAAGAAGATAAAAGAGGACATCAATAAAAAAATAATCCAGACAAAAGAATTCTGTCCAAAAAGAGGAATGTCTGGGGGGGAAAGAGGATGTCTGGCAACCATACATAGGATCAAATAAAAAATTTCATAAATTATAATTGTAAAAGTGACTGAGATGTGTAACCTTACATCCTCGACCATGAAATGCTTTTTCTGTCTTTTTGTATTGATGAAATACTGATTCTATAATTTACTTGTGAAAAAAAATTAAATAAAAATTTATTGATCTAATTATTTGTGTCCAAGCTTTATCTCCTTGAAAATTTCTGCAGACACCCCATGTATATAAACATAAATGCATAATTTTAATTTGTTAGTTAATATCATATATTATTACATTTTATTTTTTTCTTATATTTTACACATTTTCCTTCAGGAACTATCACCAACATCAGAAATAAATCGTATAAAATCTTTAATGAATTTGTTAGATTGCTCATTACAAAATATAATAAATGAGAAATTAAACATGTTACAAGAAGTATTCTTTGTTTGGCTTGAAGTAAGTAATAATTGCAATCATTTCTACATGATTATACTTATTATATAGGTTTAATTTATTTTTATTACAAAATCATATAACAATAAATTGTTAATTAATTATTAAGGAATGGAAAGCATTATTATTTTTTTGTTCTATTGTGTATGGATCAAAAAGACAAATAACTAGCCCAAAATATAGTATAATTAAAATCTAAGTCAAGATGCACCACAAGCTTGAGAACTAAGCTCTTATTTATATTTTTGACAAATTTATGTTATCACAGCTTTAAATGAATGTTTAATTAATATAGAGTTCATTACTGTTAGCAATAAGGGTACA